TATTGCGCCTCAAACCCTCAAAAGCGTATGAGCCGTTACAAGTTTTTAGAAGAACTTGCATACGCTTTAGTAACTCCACATGTTATGAATAGAAGATCTATGACAAATCTTTCAAAAGAGCTGAAAGATATGATTGACAAGTTTCTCCGTGAGGTTGGTGTTGAGCTACCTGAAGATCAACCTGCACAAGGACCGAGCCAAAATAAGAGACCAAAGAAATCGCGCTGTCATTTGTGCCCACGGCTCAAAGACAGTAACACCCCGAGAGTGTGCTCAAAATGTATGAAGAATGTGTGCCGTAATCATTCTGTAGACGTAATAGTATGTGCTAAATGTCAGGAAAAGTATTAATTGGGCTAAAATACATTATTTTGATAGAAAATATTGAGACTGAAATGAGGTTCCTAAACTTGAATGATTTTTGATATTTTCTAAGTACTATGTGCATTCCTCTTGTGATTTTAGACGTTTAAGTATTTTTGTAGATTTTTATGTATTATTTGTAATTCATAACATATGAGTAACTACAAAAAAGACTCGATTTAGTTCTTGTTTCTACTTTTAAGTCATAATCGCTTTTCAAAGTAAACTCTTAAAATTTAACGTGTTTTTTGTGACTTGTTTTGTTTGACGCTAGAAATGTATATTTTTAAGTTTAAAGTTATAAATAAATACTCTAATAACATTCAAAAAATGTATTTTATTTATTTCGTAGAAAAAAAACTGGTCTAGTAATGCAAATTGGTACTGATATATGATTTTTCTTTTTGGGGGACCACGCTCCCCCACGTGTGTAGATGCGTGGCCAGAAATAGCGTGTGGTGCTAAGGGTTAATATAACTAATGATGTCCTGTTCACTAGTTTCTTTACTTACGTTTGATATAAACAACGGGACCGTAACATTCGCAGCTTTAAACTTTACATCGGGCGCTGTAGACGCTCGTCCTTTCTGACCAATAAGTTTGTATCTCTTGGCAGTTTTGGATTGAACAATTTGCCATTCGCTATTTTCTTCCCGGACCCGCGTGCAGTCCTTAACTATTCGGTTTTCTTTACGCTCTTGTACGACAAAAGAAACAGCTGTGCTGGCGATGACGTCAGCGCTCGCGCAGGGAGTAATAACCGGTGCATTCGAAACCGCGGTACGCTCCGTGGCCTCCACGCGCAACGAATTATGCGCCGTCCCACTCACACGTGGATTACCTACGGGGCTCGAACGTGTTACACTGAGGCTCTCGCTTGTACCTTTCAGAACCTCGGTCGGCGCCTCAATACACCTGCGACTTTCTATTGCATTCGGTTGTTCGCATTGAAACGAGACAGTCTCGGCATTACGGTGAGCTCGGGTCTTTGACCGCGTTGGAGTCATAACGCAACTGCGACTTTCTATTGCGTTCGGTTGTTCACATTTAAAAGAGACAGACTCATCTTCGCTATGTGCTCGGGTCGTTGATCGCGATGGAGTCGAGTGGCTGTTGACTTCAACAGTTGATACTTGCGTAGGTTTTATCGGTACATATTGGAGCCCTATTGGTCCACTACTTAACTCATAACTGTCATTTTCTCGTAGACATGCTCTTCTTCGTTTATTCACATAACTATTAACATGAAAATTATCCACAATAGATGCATGTTTCATGGTTTCTATTTCATGTTTTAATTCATCAAACATCTCCATTGTGGCAGTTTTCTCCTGTAACGAATTAACTTGCCTTTGAAGGCTTACAATATCTTTTAACAGGCGAGTACAATCAAATTTCGAGGGTCATTTATCGGGATAAAAACTATCCTATCTCTCAAGTTGGACCAAAATGCAGTGTGCAAAATTTCATTGAAATCAGTTCAGTAGTTTAGGAGTCCATCGCGGACAAACAACGTGACACGTAATTTTTATATAAAATAAAGATGGCAGCAAATGTGACCCCTGTAACTACCTACCGATCTCTGTTCTCTCATCAGTGTCTAAGCTTCCAGAAAAATTAATTAATATTAGATTCACAAAATTCTTGACAAAATATAGCATATTAGCAAATAATCAATTAGGTTTTTAACGAGGCTTATAGACTGAAAATGCTGTGCAGGCTCTTACAAATCTAGTAGTAAAAGAAGTGGATTCTGGATACAAATTTTTGGAAGTGATGCTCGATCTAAAGAAGGCATTCGACAGTGTCGGTGCCCATCCTGTTAAATAGACTAGAGGAAGTAGGGATGAGAGGTACTCTTCTCAAATGACTCAAAGATCATTTTACTAACCGAAAGCAGCGTGTTCGAATAGGCAACCACACTAGCCAGGAAGCCACTTTGACATTCGGTGTCCCAAAGGAGAGCGTGCTGGGACCAACGCTTTTCCTGGTGTATACAAATAATCTCTGTCTTTTAAAACTATCCAATGGTACTGTATTTTCTTACGCAGATGATACAGCTATCGTGTTCTCTACCAAATCCTGGTGTGAAGTAAAAATATCGGCAGAAAAAGCCCTGGCAAAGATAGCATTCTGGTTGGACACAAGCCTCCTTACCTTAAATGCAGCTAAGACTCAATATATGAAATTATAACATAAAAATTCACACGTGTGGTGACCCGTCTCATACTGACTGCTCGTGTACTGGAATGGATAACGTCGCTTATGCTAAATACTTAGGGATTCTCGTCGACCTGCGTCTTTCTTGGCACCTGGATGTAGAATTGACCATGAAAAGAGTGAGAAAGCTGATCTGGACTTTTAAAACTTCACGTCACATTGCGAGTAAAGAATTACTTACTCAAACATATGTTGCACTCGCCCAATCCATACTGGTATACTGCATATCAGTGTGGGGCTCGGCTGCTAAAACTTCTCTACTATGTCTGGAGCGAGCTGAAAGGTTGCTGATAAAAGTAATGCTTCTAAAACCATATAGATACCCCACTGAAAATCTTTACCGGGAGGCTAATCTTCTATCAGTTAGGAAACTATACATATTGAACATTGTTCTTAGAATGCACAAATCTCTTCCCTTTGATGTTAAGTTGCTAACCAGGAGAAGTAACTATAAAGTTTCCTTAGTTCCCACAGTAAAATCAGACTGCAAGACGGCAGTACTATATGCAGTCTGCCTCAATCTACAATAAAATAAATAAGTATCTTAACACATTCTCCCTTAATAAAAAAGATTGTAATTTAGTTTTCTATGTAACTGATTGTAAAAAGAGCTATTCTTCCTAACACAGGCGATGTTTTGCCTAAAGGGGAGTTCCCACAACTAATATTTGTAATAGACTAAGGTACTGAAATAAACATATTTATTATTATTATCATTTAGTAGAAGTGGCAATGGCTTGGCCATATAGCTCGAAGAACCGACAACCGATTGGAAAGAAAGGTTCGCGAGTGGCAGCCTCGTACCGGCAGGCGAGGTGTAGTGTAAGCGTCCTCCTACTAGATTGAGTGACGACCTGGTAAGACATGCAGGAAGTCAATGGATGCAGGTGGCTCGTGACCGTACTTTGTGACATTCCTTGGGGGAGGCCTATGTTCAGCAGTGTAAAAAACGTAAATGAATGTAATCTGGTCTATAATACTTAAGCCTTTTCGGGAGGCTGGAAGTAGTCAATCATCAAGTTTGCTTGCGAGACCATTCGTAATGAGTCGAAAACACCACGTAGACGTGGCGCGAAAAGAAATTGTTCTGTAGTATTCCATTAAGGGCCTCGCCGTTTTTAAGATGCTGGAGCGTTATTCTTATCTTGCTTAGATTGATAACTGTAATAAGAGTCAAATAAGACTTGCTCTTGAATCGATATCGATCGAACACTATCGAGTGGCGACAATAAGAACCATTGAACTATAACCTCTAAATCTCACTATGTCATGTTACCCAGAAATGACGGTGTCACAGTTTGATCTTCAAGAAAGACAGGTGGCCGGTGGCACTTCCCAGCAGACAGATCTCCTGCTAAGACTGTGGAACCTTGTCCAGTTCAATTATATTTTCAATATGAGCAGTGTTAAAGTGCGTGTCTTGCCGCTAGAATTTGGAGATGCATCTGTTCAGCTATCTAAACACTATTTTATGTGTTGAAATCTGCAGTTTCATTTCCATGAAATTAAGAAGTCACAAACTTATTTGTTTGTCATTCAATACATTTCGGACCCATTTCAAAGACAAAATGAAGTTAGACTTATTTTTCGACTTTTTCTTTAATTATTCTTATTCAATCTTGAGACTTACTCAACAAGTTGGAAAAGTTCTTTCTACAATATATAATATTGTTTAGGACATAATGAAATAATACATTTAAAATAAGTCCTATTTTGGAATATTATAAAATATTTAATATGTTCAATATTATTTACTATCTTTAATGAGTTACGAAAATCTTAATGTGTAGTTTTTAAAACTGAGGGTTCGAACACAGTGGGTAAACCGATATTAGATACAAACGTACATTAAATTTAAATTATGCTTTAATGTGATTGAAGATATTTACATTTTCATAAAGTATTCTTAAAATATTGCCCATCTTCGTAAGAAAATGTCTGCAGTTTGCAAAATACATATTTTTCAACCATTACTCAATATTTTAAATATGTATAACCACCCTACACTTGTACGCAGTAGGAGTTCCAAGCATACACTTTTATTTACAATGATACTTTCATTCACCAACACACATTCTATACCTATTAATTTGCTGAGAGTTTTTGTCACTGATTTTTTTTATAAAAACAGAGTCATGATATGCTTTCAAAAATTAATGAAAGCTGTCAGAAGAATAATAGAGAAGGGTAATATTTTATAAGGTAATTGTTAATATATTATATTTTATGTGCGTTACAAATTGGATTGGTGTCTATGCTTTTTAAAGTAAGGTTACTAATAGGCATTCCTACACAACAACTTTTAAGGCAAATATTCCACTTCTTTGACATGTAACATCAATCGTATCCACACTATACAACCACAGCTATATAACAGTGGCGGGGAGCTGACAAATCAGTCATATCAATTAAGATTTTCATTCTTGCGCCTTGCTGGCTTCTGTTATGGACTCATATTGTTCTTTATCCAGTTCTGTCATTGTAAAGCTACCATCAGGTAACAATAGTACTACCCGCCTAGTGCCACCTGAAAGAAACAGTAAAACAAATATTATTTTAAATACTTATAAAAATATATAAATACAAACTGATATACACACACACTTTCATCATATGGAAGATTAGTTAGTTTATTCATTTAATAGAATGAAAGCGAGCATAATTTCATCACTCTATGACTGAAGTGGGTATTCAAAGAGACGCCTATGGTAAATACCAGAAATATCGATATTTTCTCAAAAACTATCGATATTTATCGTCGATATTTTTATTCGCGTAATATAGATAATCGATACTTATTATTCAGTATTGAATTCTATTATATTTATTTAATAATGTAATAGACAATGTAATATACCAGATAAAAAAATTAAGCAACAAAAGCCTTTTTCCGTCGTCAAAACGTCCAGTAATAAAATGCTGGTCTGCATCTTACCAAATTATTTAAAACGTGACGATATATCGATATATATCATGTGATAATTATCGATACTGTTTAATAATATAGATATGATAAATGTCAATATATTTTTTCACTTGCACATCCCTAATATGGAATAAGAGCACTTTAGTAATCAGGCTCTATCATTAGTCCTTACCGTCAGGTGGGATAATAGTTAAGTGCTACCTTAGAATGGTTTAAATAGTGGCGGTACTATCATCTCCTTTACGTCAAGTACAAAATAGCCAGACCGGCGACAGAGAGCAACGTCAAAGGTATGAAATTTATGGTACTACAATCCTCAATTTCTCTTCTTTTTTTTAAAACGTCACCTCTACACTAGGATTTTCTCCTGTATCGTGGGGCAGATTACGAACATAAATTGCACAAAGACAAATATCCAAACCCGGAACAATTATTTGTAGGCCATACAAATATTTGTTCCGTGCGGGATTCGAACACGCGGCCTCCAGCGCTGCAACTCATTGCTAAGCCACTGCGCCACGGAGCCGTGACGGAGGGTCTGCAAGCCGTATTCGCTACTTGAACGGGAGAGGTTCAGTGAGAGGGGTCGGTCAGCGGTCAGCGGTCAGGGGTCAGCGCTCACCGGGCGAGGGCAGGTCGGCCTGCACGAGCTGCGCGATGACCTGCGTGGCGTCCTCGCCCGCCTCGCCCTCCACCTGCACGGCCACCTGCTGCAGCGCGCCCGCCTCGCCCGCGCCCGCGCCGCCCGGCAGCAGCTGCGCCAGCTGGCTCGGCTCGATCGCCAGCACGTCCTGCGCACACCGCACACCGCACACCGCCACATTACACTAGGCCTGACAAACGACCACACACTGTCCACTTAATGCTAAGTACGTGCTGTGCTTTATACACATCTACAATTATCCTCGATTCAGAATCAAAATACCGATGCGTTGTCACCCCTGAGGACTACGATGAAATGCCTTGTTTCCAGTGTAAAGTCTCCAGTTTTCCATACTTACCATATGAAGCACAGTAGCATTAAGCTGGTATTCTGTGTGGTCCTACCCCAATCGAACCAATCCGTTTGTGCCACAACCATAATATAGCTGCTGAGTGGTTCTACCATGTAAAAAACTGCACATTTTAACACAAGCACTTCAACCCACACTTGGATTCACGCCACATCATAAGTATCAATGCAAACTCCACTACGAGGGCCGTAAACGAAATGAGGAATGAACATTAGTGGCCCTACCTCGAAAATTTCTTATTAGCATTAACAAATGATTATCGGAACATCATATTAAGCATGAGTATAAATCGTGAATAATTCGTTCGTTTGAACCGGATCATACCAAAGTATTGATGATTGCAATTATATTTTTTGTACATCCCAAATCAAACGATTGACAGAACCTAATGTTCGACGACTGAAATTATCGAGCGAATCTCACAGATCACAGAGTACTTGAAACTCTATATTATGATCTATTTTAATGATTAACCCGCTTCGTAAAACGAATGATAAGGTCGAACTTGAATGATAAGGTTACTAGAAATTAATGACTGACACATGTCTAAAACACATTATATTGTTGTTGCTGGTGGCAACACTAGTTACCACCAGCGTCCCTAGTATCGAGTAGCAGAACTAGGAGAGTCAAGATCCTTCTAGAAATTTCGGGACCGATATGTACTCGAACATTCTAGATGTTTCTACAGTAGAAGGTTCTGGAAACTATATGAGGCCCTATATACGGCCGATATAGACCACGACCGAGTCAGTATTGAATTGGCGATATAAGCGAATACTTCGAAGCGAAATAACTGCGAACTAAAGTGATCAGTAATACAATTGTGTTTTATTATTAGTGTGGTTTTAAATTGTAATTAGTGTTCTGTAATTAAAGTGTCAATTTTGGTAATTCAATCGGCAGTTTTCAATTGTCTCGAACCCCAAGCTCGTAACAATATTATCTAGGTAAGATTAAAACAGTCAATGATATTATGTCAGTTAACATTCACACTGAAACATTTCTAAACTTTATTCTAATAGCATAGCTGACAACCATGGCGAGAGGCTTCAGTGTCTATGGTCAGTTTACACGGCGTCCCGTTGACCTCGCCCTTGATGACTATACTAGCTGACCAGGCAGACTTTATTCTGCCCTTTTCGACGACCCTTCATATAAAAAATCCTTAAATTCGTAATACAAAAAATATTGAGTGTCACTTATCAGGATAAAAACTATCCTATCTTTCAAGTTGGAGCAAACTGCACAGAGTGCAAATTTCATTGAAATCAGTTAAGGAGTTCATTGCGGACAAACAACGTGACACGTAATTTTTATATATTGTTACGAGCTTGAGGTTCGAGACAATTAAAAATTGCCGATTGAATTACCAAAATTGACACTTTAATTACAGAACACTAATTACAATTTAAAACCACACTAATAATAAAACACAATTGTACTACTGATCACTTTAGTTCGAAGTTATTTCTTCTCGGACATTTGCTGGCCCGACTGTCTGACGTGCTCATAAATGTCATTCATTTTGTTCCGCAAGTCATTAGCATAATCAGTTATACTGTCTGGGGCATCAGGTGGTATTTCGGTGATCAGTTCTGCCAGGCAGCCGTAATTCTCTCCCAAAGTTTGCGAAAGCTGGCGTCACTGATGTACTTTCGTGAAAAGCGCAAAAATATGACAACAAAAACGGTTGTATGTGCCTGTCCCAGTCGATAGATATTGGCGGTGCCAACGCAACGAATCCACTTCCTCACTAGTACCAACCAATGTGCCTTTGTGCCTATAATCTGTTCCTGATCATAAAGGTTCAGCACACGTTCTCCTGCTATGTCGGCGATTCTGACCAAGTTTCGAGCCACTTTCCATGGAAGGTCATTGTCTACCCTTTCCGCGAGTACACAACAAAGAGTTTGCCCAGGATTCCGAGGAAGTCTAACCGGCACAATCGTTTCCGATCTCGGCGGAAGAACAATCTTCTTAAGGCTGTACACATCCCCTGGTAACGCCCCTTCCACGAAAATTTCCTCTTGTCCACATTTCAAAACACCTTGCTTAACGTCGATTTCACAACAATTCTTCCTCATAAAGTCTAGGCCCAGGATGCAGTCGTCCATTATATCACCCACGATGACATTATGCAGGTAGATCAAGTTGCCTAGCTTCAACTCCATCGCCTTCTCTCCACGGACGGGTATGCGCTGACCGGTGGCTGTCATCAAATCAATGCGTTCTCGGTTGTATGCGGAGTCCCCAAGGAACTGACTTATAAGTTGGGAACTGAAAACTGTGCGAGAGGCTCCAGTGTCTATGGTCAGTTTACACGGCGATCCGTTGACCTCGCCCTTGATGATTAGGCTGTTCCCATCATGGGTTTGTGAGATCGAAATCCTTGGGGCTCTTTTAACATCAGCCAGCACCCACCCCGCAGTCCTGGCTTTTACTAGTTTCCCTGCTGCTACTGGGCGGTACTATTAGCCGCACTACCCTCTCGAGATCGATCACCTTCCCTTTCTACAGTTTGCTTAGGGCAGCTGAATCGAAGATAGCCCCCTTTCCCCACAGCCGTAGCACCTAGGGCTGTAGCCTTTATTGCGGTCGGGAACTGTAGCTGCTGCAACCTTCCTGAAGCGATGGGAACGGTGAACCTGCCGCACGGCTTCCACCTCCAGTGCATGGGTCAAGGCGTCCTTAAGCGTCTCGTGGTGCCCGAGTCTCACAGCAGCTCTGACTTCAAGGTCGCGGATGCCATCGATGAATGTCTGCACCAGATTCCCTACAATGAGCGCAGGTACAGACTGGTATGCTTTTCGAACCAGCTTCTCCACCTCAATGGCCCACTGCTGCAGGTTTTCGTTACTGCGTTGCACGCGATCTTTGAGCTGCGCACGAAAGACGTGTTCCAGGTGAGCGTCGCCATATCTCGCCTCCAATGCCTCAAGGAGTTGCTCGTAAGTCACTTCCTTACCGAGAGCTTCCAGAACAGTTAAGGTCTGGTCGCGCAGGCCTAGGGATTTTTATTCCAGCTGTTCGTCTTCATGACAGTCTGGAATTAGATTTTGTAGGCCGACCAGGAAGAAGTCCCGTCGAACGGCGGCACTTTGAATCCGCGTTGTGAAGGTGTTGTAGCTACCACGGGAGCTGTAACTCCAACCGTTGTAACTCCTGTTCGGCGGCGGATGGCGGCCTGTTCACAAAATGATTATATACTATAAAAATAATATTTTGGCGATTAAAATTTCTTTGTCTGAATGCAAAACAAATTTTAGCACCTTCGTATGATTATTTTACCAACACTGAGCTCTACGTACCTTTATATTTTTAGTTCACATGACACAAAGTGTCACCATCTAGTGTCGAATATATTTAATTATATTTGAAAGCCAACGCAGAGATTTTTCCAGAACTATTTTAATAAATTAGGTGTCAAATTACTTACAAATAAAATGTGATGCCATCCATAGCATCAGAGCGTCTATCTGAGTCGTTTTTACACGATAAAACACAACACTTCATCCTTTTCTTCTTAATACTACGAAAATACACTGATTTGCGATTTTCAACACATAAGCACACAGTACAGTATACTAACTAAAGCCACGCCCACTATGATGACGTCAGGACCTACTTAGAATCACAGTGCACAGTTGCTTATGCCGTCTCCTCTTTGTATTTGATTCATGGTTTACAAACATAAATTGCACAAGGACAAACATCCAGACCCGTAACAATTATTTGTAAGCCATACAAATACTTGTTCCGTGCGGGATTCAAACCCGCTGCCCCCAGCGCAACAACTCATTGCTAAGCCACTGCGCCACGGAGTCGTCTAAAATCTTAATAGTCGGAGCATTATACATTTTTATGCTTACACATTTTATAACTTGGCTAAGGCCACTGACCTCTATCGTTGGGAACATTCTCGTGCAATGTGACGAATACGCAACTGGCTGCCGTAAAAATATATAGAAATCACTTTTCATATAAACAATAGGGATCATTGCCCCTTGTTAAAAAAAAATTGTATGTATAGGCAAGACGCAGCCGCGTAATGTGCATTGGCATTGTCTTTCATTTTATGATCTTTAGTTAAGGGCAGTTATCCAGGAAGATTTGCATTAAAATAATTTACCCATATTTGGTTAAACCATATCGAGATGAAATCCCATCCGTGTCTGTTAGTGTTCTGTGCCGTGGCGTCAATTTATAAACTGAATAAAATCATTATTGTCATGTTAAAAATCTGTGATCATAACTTTAATTTAAAAATATCTAACCTGTCCGTCTTCTCTTGTGACATACATCACACCATCGCCTTCACCTTCAACAGCGCCTTCTACACCTTCCACAGCGCCTTCGACACCCTCTGCAGCTACTAACAATGTTTGTCCGGCTTCATTTTCGCCAGCCACCTAAAATATAATACATTTTTATTAGATGCTAAAGCCTGATGATATGTTTACAAATACTTGTAAGATAAATCTAAAATTAAGATAAATTTTATTAAGAAAGTAAAGAAAGTAAATCTAAACATGATAAAAATGCTATAGAAATAATAGAAAAAAAAATACAAGAAAAAGTAATTATCTGTAAAATAAACTAGTTAAAGAGCGCAACATTTAAGGTTTAAGTTATCAGGTAATAGACAATAGGAAAAATAGGTTTATAGAGCAGGAAACTACAATCCAACTTTGAAGCCGATTATCAAGCAAAGAATTTTTACAGCCTATAAAAAATTAATTATAGCTATTACTAACTTGATAGAGGACGCCGTCTTCTCCTCGAATCATAATTGGAGGATGACCAGTATGCAATAATCCTACTTCTTCATTTTCATCTACCCCGACTCCTTCTTCTAGAAGTTGTTTCACTGCATTTGACTCCACCTTAACGTCTGACTGTTAATTAAAATGAAATAAAATTATCAGCATAAAACAGATATTTCTAATAATTCAAAAAAATTACCACAATGTTTAATTTATATAGCATACTTACTCCATCCTCATCTGTTAGTACAGGTAAAGATGGTTGTGCTCCATCTCCTTGTTGGACTAGCATTCCTGTCGTACCACCTGGAGACATCTCCACCTATGTTAAAATATGAAGCTTTCAATCAATGAGTATATTATTTTATGTATGTAGGCGACAGGAATATATGAAAATATTTATTGCCATCTATGTGCATTAAATAGCCACCAAAAATATGTTACTGCTATAATTATCCAGGTACATATATTCATAGATAAAAGAATTGACAGTATAATGTGGGAGAGCTCAATATGTTCTATGTGATAGAATTGAGTAATGATTTAACGCAAGCCCATTAATAAAAAAGCGTGAATGTGAGAAAACCTGTGAAAATAAAAAAACATATTACGAAAACAATAAGTAAAAGTTACAGCTTATAAACACCCTCTACAGGGTATGGACTTCTAAATTTTAAAGAAGGGGAAGTATCTACTATATTCTCTGTGTTAAAGCATGGTGCGGGTGACAACTTACACTTTATGCATATCTAGAGATGGAACATTGTTAAATCGATTTAAAAAAAGCGATTGACGATACACAAAGCAAAGCAAAAATTATCGGATTAGCTATCGATATAAAAATTAAAACTGAAACATATATTTTTTTATAAACTACATCATCATCATCATTACAGCCTTTCATAAGTCCACTGCTGAACATAGGCCTCCCCCAAGAAATGCCACAAAGCACGGTCCTGAGCCACCTGCATCCATCGACTTCCTGCATGTCTTACCAGGTCGTCACTCCATCTCGTGGGGGGTCGCCCTACACTTCGCCTACTGGTACGAGGCTGCCACTCGAGAACCTTTCTTCCCCATCGGTTGTCGGTTCTTCGAGCTATGTGGCCGGCCCACTGCCACTTCAGCTTACTAATCCGTTGGGCTATGTCGGTTACTCTGGTTCTACTGCGGATATCCTCATTCCTAAGTTTATCACGCAGAGAAACTCCGAGCATAGCCCTCTCCATAGCTCGCTGAGCGACCTTGAGCTTCCTCATACGGCCAGCAGTGAAGGACCACGCCTCAGATCCGTAAGTCATCACTGGCAACACGCACTGGTTGTACAATTTCGTTTTAAGGTTTTGAGGTATGTCTGACGAGAAGATGTGTCGTAGCTTCCCGAACGCTGCCCAGCCGAGTTGAATCCGTCGATTGACCTCTCGGTCGAATTTGGACTTACCTAGTCGGACTATTTGTCCCAGGTAAACATACTCGTCAACAACTTCGAGCTTAGTGCTCCCAACAACTACCGGCATAGGTGTGACATGGACATTAAACATAATCTTTGTTTTGTCCATGTTCATCTTAAGACCTATCCGTTGGGAGACACTATAGAGGTCATTGAGCATAGTGCTTAGGTCCTCCAGAGAGGTGTAAGACAACACCTCTCTGCAATTGGATAGGTTTCGTACTCTGGTTCTGTACTCGGATAGCCATCGTAGATCTACTGTACAAGCACTTCAGCACTTCGATATACCGACAGTCAACTTGGCACCGCTGAAGGGACTGCAGCACCGCCCAAATTTCGACGGAATCAAAGGCTTTCTCATAGTCCACATACGCCAGACATAGTGGCAAATTGTACTCTTCGGACTTCTGTACAATTTGCCGAAGGGTATGTATGTGGTCTATGGTGCTAAAGCCCTTTCGGAAACCGGCTTGTTCGGGAGGCTGGAAGTCGTCAAGTCTGCGCGCGAGACGATTCGTAATGACTCTCGAAAACAGCACGCTCAGAAGGGAAATCGGTCTGTAGTTCTTTAAGAGAGCGTTGTCACCTTTCTTGAAGAACAAGACCACCGCACTTCTGCTCCACGCCTCCGGTGTAATGCCAACATGGACGACGGAATTAAAGAGCTTCTGAAGGACTTCAAGTACCGGTCTTCCACCCGCATTCAGAAGCTTCGCAGTAATTTCATCCTCGCCTGGGGCCTTGCCGTTTTTAAGGTGCTGGAGAGCCATTCTAATTTCGCTCAGACTGACGTCCGGGATATCTTCGGAATAGTGTCGGATAAGACCCGCTCTTGGATCGTTACTCACACTTGTGTGTGGCTCCAACGATGACGTGTACAGCTGCCCATAGAACCTCTCAATCTCACTCAAAATCTCAGGTGTCCCGGAAACGATGCTGCCACACTCGGTCTTCAGCTTTGACAGTTGGCTCTTTCTGGCACACAGATCTCTGGCAAACACTTTGGAGCCTTGGTTCCGCTCGATCGCTTCTTCAATACAAGCTGTATTGAAGTTGCGTAAGTCCCGCCGCATGCATTTGGAGATCTGCCTGTTCAGTTGCCTGTTTGCTGTCAAATCTGTTGAAGAATGTAGCTTCATCTCCCGTCTAACAACCATGAGATTAAGAGTGTGATCGGAGAGTTTTTGTGTTCTTCTGCGGCGGGTCTTGCAGAACTTAGCTCCGACCGCATGGACAGTTTCCACGAGCTTGTCATTCATATCGTCCACTTCATTGCAGTCTTCTAGGCACTGAAAACGGTTTTGTAACTCGAGCTGAAAGGTTTCGGGACTTTGGAACAGAGCACGAGGGGGACGGAGCGTTGACTTCATTAGACGAGACCTCTCTAACTTAACGTTTAGGTTCAGTGTGCCTCTAACCATTCGGTGATCGCTACCAGTTTTCACCCTCGCGATCACGGAGACATCTCTGAACAGTTGTCGTCTGGTCGTCATAATGAAGTCAATCTCATTTTTTGTCGAACCGTCGGGGCTCGACCAGGTCCACTTCCTGTGGGGCCGCTTCTGGAAGAAAGAGTTCATCATAAAGAGTCCCTCTTTCTCCATGAAGTCGGCCAGCTGCTGGCCCCTTGGGTTCCGTTGCCCGATTCCAAATTTCCCTACTTTCAGCTCACCGTTCTCTCTTGTGCCTAGTTTTGCATTGAAGTCTCCCATTAACACCGTATATTGGGTTTTGGAGGAATGCATGGCTCTAGAGATATCCTCATACATTTCCTCAACCTCCTCATCGGGGTGTGCCGAGGTTGGTGCGTAAACCTGTATGACCTTCAGCGAATACCGTTTGGTGATTCTGAGTATAAGGTACGCAACCCTCGTCGACACACTCCCGATCTTTACAACGTTGTTAACGAGAGACTTGTGGACGATAAATCCGACACCTCCCTGGGACAGATGGTCGCCCTCCCGGTGATAGAGCAAGTTGCCGGATTCGAGGATTACCGTGTCCTCCCCCTCTCTTCGGACTTCGGATAATCCTATAATATGCCAGCGCAACTTGTCTATCTCTTCTTCCAGCTCCACAATCTTCTCGTCAGTCCTCAGGGTGCGTGCGTTGTACGTTGCCAGGTCGAGTCGTCTAAGGTGGCAACCGAACCTCCACCGGAGATTCTTAGCACCCCCTGCCCCGCCGTTACCATGGTCGCCACCGTAGCCAGGAATAGCGGGGCCGCCGGGGACTGGGGGCCGTCTGTTTGATGCTTTAATCATTGGGGGGTATTTGCCATAGTTGCCACGCTTGGCGAGCAGGTTGGCAACCGCAGTTTTTTTATTGTAATTTTGGCTATTATCAGGAAGATGCCCATCTCCTGCCTGTTTCCCTTTGTCGCCTTTTACGACACCCACGGGAGGATATGGGGTAGTGGATATTCTTGACCGCCACTACACGGCAATATAATAATATAAACTACAATGCATGTAAAATTAAGTTAAAGTTTAATACAAAATATGACAAAATAGTTACATAATAGCTGTTCCCGGACCTCGCCCGCTTGGTATTTATTACTATTGGCTTTCATCGGTTTTAATTTTTTTGCTTGGAATCCTAATTCTTTTTCTAAAATAAAATTAACCTGTGTTACTCCATATAACATCAGCTATCTGCCAACTATAAGCCGGAACAAACACAGACAAAAACACAGATAAAAGTAAAGCTAAAATTTTATATCTATTACGGTCAAAGGAGCGTGAGGTGGTCAATTTTGAATGCATGGCTGGATTCTACTCAAGATGGTCCGTGTCATAAGGCGATAACAATATTAAAGCAGCAATAACAATATGCTTAGTATCTTTGTTTCGTGCGTGGTTTATCCCATATTTATCCCATCTCAGCGGATAAAATACCACCTGTTGCGGACGCTCGTAATATGCATTCATGTCAAATTACAATATGCATTATTGCCTATCTGTATGGCAATCAAATATTATAAAACTGTATAATTGAAATTCACCTTCCGACTGGGGTTGCTATCGGTGATAGGGCTTTTACTTGTTTTATAATTTTTAATCGACTTCCAAAAAAGGAAAGGCTTATATGTTCGACCTCTCAGAAACCCTCTCAGATATGAGAGGAGGCCTGTGCCCAGCATTGGGACGTGTATATAGGCTGTAACTTTAACTTTCGTTATATATAAATTTAACTTTTATTTTCGACGGTATGTATTTTTATGTATGTGCACCGATTTCTCCGCCAATTGCGAACCGATTTTCAAAATTATTTTTTTTATTCGAAAACTTACACTCTTAAGGTAGTCCCATTGTCACCAAGTCAGAATCTGATGATGGGATCCCAGGGAAATCGAAGATAGCCCTCAAATTTTATAGGCACATATAATGTTTTTCATGTACTTTCTAACGCATCTATTTGTGCCTAGTAATCATCATCTCATGTTGCTGAGATGATAATGGAAGGTATAAGTTAGGATCTGATGATGGGATCCCAAGAAAATTAACCGATACGTTGCGGCACCAATTTTCGACACATATTAACAAATATTTCATGACACGCCTGGCGTGTCAAGCACACAATGTAATGTTCTTTTTTATGCTTTTTTTACTTGTTTAGACCTAATTAAGTTTATTTGACATCAAACATAAGTTACAAATGGAAGGATACTTGTTTTTAGTGGGTAACTACGTGTTTTTTTACGCGTTTTCTTTGAAACTGAGAGAGACTTTTTTTATGAAGAGATTACAAACCTTTTGTACTATGTTATAAAAAAATCAATTTCGTTATAAAAAAATCATTTATATAAGTAGGTACAGCTAAATCACCCTGGAAACCTTGGTTTTTATTAAATTAAATTTTCACCTAATAATAATATTTGTAAATATCAAACAATGAAGAACCTTAATTTGAAAAAAAAGATAAGGTATATCATTCATTGATATTTACAAATGTTAAATATTATTTAATGTTATACAAATGTAAAAGTAAAGTCGAACTGAAAACGTCTAATTAGTAAGAATAGCAAAACAAGTGTTTTCAAAAGGAAAAAATCGCCGGCGCTATACGGCGGCGGTGACAAAAGACTATTTATTAGCGAACTTTTTTATGCATGAACGGTTTCAAACTGTTTCAAGCAAAAATAAACGTCATACCATATCACAAGAGCACATGGTACTTCGTAACCATATGATAGTAATAAGACGACAGTTCAACCATTTTAAGCAAAATTAAACAATAAGACAAACGCATTGTTTTTTTTTAACAGGAGACTTGTTTTCCAGAAATTTATTTACAACTTGAGTTTGTGAGCGATCGCAATGAGTGCTATTATTTGTTACTTATTAGACAATTTTTCCATAACATGATTTAAAACCATTAACATAAATGTGTTATAACGATTTTTAAAAAGACACGACTCGCATGTCATACGCCACACACAAAAGTAATCGATGGCACGCCTGGCGTGTCACCCGCACTGAACCGGTTAAGGGCAATCCACATATTTTTAGGCATTGTTTCAAACAACATACTCCTCATGTGTTCCCATGGTCATCACGTCATATTAGTTACGTATTATTCTACTAAAGTTCGCTAAAGTTCATTTCAAATATACTAAACGTAAACTCACTGAATTGTTACTTCATTGTCTTATTAATTTCACTGTTCTGTGCCGCATGTAAATCAGTATAGGATAAACGTCGATATCGACTGACATTATTATGATATCGATAAAAACTTCGACAGTTGTCACTTTCCTAATTGTTTAGACTAATAAGTATTTATTAGTCTAACCATCCCTCACCTCTGGTCTTCCCCCGTAGAGTGCGATAGGGACAAGTGCAGCTCAGAACGATTTTATCTACAAAAACCATGACCAATCGACAATTCGTATTCCCCTGTTTTCTCCTCGAAAACTAAGCCGATTAAATTATTTTTGGTATCAAAATTAAAAGGAAGAATAGATCTACGCTCCTATTACTTGTTTTTATCTATATATTTTTCAAATTTGTTTGGTAGTCGTCTGATTAAGGAGGTAAAAACGGGGCTTTTTTTAGGTTTTTGGAAAGTCATATTTATTTTTGTAATAATTTTTTGGAAAAAAATAAATGACAGGGGCATGCCTTCAATAGACCTAGATTTTTATAAACAAAACCGTTTACTCTAGAGGCATTATCCAGGAAGAGAATAGGGGAATACATTTGTATGGAAAAAATGCAGCCCGTCTACGCTCTTAAGAAGGGGCGGTAAAGGAGAAGACTAGGTGTACGTACCTTCATGAGCATGGTGGCGTTGTGGTGCGGCGGCGGTGTGGAGGCGGGCGCGGGCGGGTGTGCGGGCGGGTGCGCGGGCGCGGCGGGCGGCGGCGAGGCGGGCGGCGGCGTGGGCGGCGGCGTGGGCTCGCCCTCGGCGCGCGCCAGGCGCCGCCCCGTCAGCGGGCACAGCGTCAGCGCGCGCTCGGGGCTCGGCGGCGGCAGCGGGCCCAAATCGCGCGGGAACGGGTCCTCGATGCCGTCCGACGACTCCGACGACGCGTCTGACTGTTGATCAACGTTTCCTTTAGCTTCGGTCACACACAGCGAATATTCCGCTGCGAATAATACTCGCAGCGACAATTTTCTGCCTATATGTCACACACAGCGAGTTGTCGCTGCGAGTCCATAATCGCAGCGAGTATTCGTTGTGTGAAACTGAGACTTTAGCCACATCAGCCAAGTGTGTAGTCAACTCGGTGAATATGCATTTAACTGTCGGGCAGCAGGTCGAGGGTTCGAATCCTGCTCAGAATGGATATTTGTTCAGCCTAAAAATTAACGTCCCGGGCCTGAATGTTCGCTTACAGTATAGAGGAGAAAATTCTACAGTAGAGTTAACATTATTTAAAAAAAAATTAAATAATAGTTTCTCCCCATAAAAATTGAATATAAATTGTATATTCATAAATAATAAAACTACTATTATAATATATATATTATATAAACATATAAGATACTACTGAGCAAAAAATTATATACATCCAATCTACAAGTTTATGAACAACCTTTCACGGTTTTTCTCTAGCTCTTTTTTGTATGGGTATTTTCAGTATGGGCCAACAAGTATAAATACATCTTGGTCATTCTCACCACGCCAGAAGGCATACCATCAAGGTAGTAATACTGCTCTCAGGTTTTTTCTATTGAGAAAACCTCATCTGTCATTCTGCAGAGTTAATTACATACAGATAAATTTACAATTTGTTGCCATGTAATTATTATTGAATGTAGATATATTATTTTATATATAGTGCCTGTTTATGGTCTGTTCATAAAATTATTTTTAGTTTTTTATTACATCATTGTTATTCAAAGACTATGTAGTATTTTAATTATTAGCATTTGCTGAACATTACAATGACACAAGTCTCCTCCAGTTTTTCTCATTTATTTTTGTTTTCATAATGTATCTCCAACCCAGGCCCAATTTTATATAATTTACTACTTTATATTGTAACTAATATGACTAACCTTATCAAAATCGAAGGTGATTGTCTTGTCACGTATGCGTACAATGTTGCCGGCAGCTGTCGACACTGAATAGCCGCCTCGTCCGCGGCCGCGCCCAGAGCCACCGCGACGCAATAAGCTGTCACCCTGCAATAATATTTTGAATTAAAAAAAAATTATAATTCTGTGCTTATATCTAAATCTAAACAGATTTAGGAGAACTATGTACTTAAAAGTTGCTCAAAATGAGAAATAAATTTGTCAAAAATGACTTAAAAACCCACAACACACTCCAATGCAGCAGTGTAATGTAAGCTGCCTTTCTTATAATTCAATCTTTTATTAAAAAAAATAATAATAATGGCAAAGCCAATGTTGTGATGCTTAAAAGATAGAACGTAATAAAGCAAACGATTTATAAATAGATCTATATTGATCAAAGGATTACACATTCATACACACTTGATATTCAAAACAGATTGAGCAGTCCTATTAATAAGCATGAATAAAACTGGCAGTGTAACAGCTCGTCTTGTTCCACTTAACTGAGGGATCAGGTTTATACTAAAAGCCTGTGTACAGCCACTCAACTTGTGTCTGTATCTGACATAAGCTGTATAATGTTAAGTCAAGATGCATTTCAAGGTCGGTCCAATTTAAATACATTCTTTCGCAGAAAAAAGTAGGCACTTATAATTTTAATCTATATCAAGGTAAGCATACTTTCAATGTTTTTCATTTTCTAATATGATCAGAACACAATTCATCTAAATCGTAATCTTTGTAATCATCAAAATCGTAATGTTCTTTTTCAAGTGACGTTTTTAAACCAATTTAATTTATTTTTGTATTTCAATATCTTTTTTTGTTACTGAATCTGGTATCTTCTTAATAGAACACCATTTTATATGCATGTCCAGTCCACTGAACAGTAGAATGTAATTCTATCACTGAGTAGTGTCATTGGCTACAGCAATCTTCTAGAGGCAAATAATGGGGAACACAAAAGGGTCAAAATATTACTACCAAATACTATTAAAATCGTAGCAAAGATCATGTACATTCCATTAGACTTTATTTCACTTCAATACATGCAGTATTTCCGAAGTTATAACGACGAGAAGTTTAATTCCTTTTTTGAATTTCAGAGACTACGCGCGCTCCCACTATGACGTCACACCCCCGCACACCGCGACCGCCACACAAACGCGGCGCTCGGTCCGGTGCGGTTTGGCCAAATTATGCGGGTCTCTTTTCATTTTCTTTCGATCGTCTTTGTATTCCTATTACTAATAGTGTTTGTATATTATTTTTATTACTTATATTTCAAAGAAATAATATTATCCTATATAAATCCGATTACACTAAAGTGAAACGTGTAGTGCTAGAATGGAAGAAGGTTTTGTAAAAGGACAGTCGGACAATCTGCCAAGAGTGGATAGTTTGATGATGGCACAATATTTCATGAAGAATCAGGGTTTTTCAGCTGCTGTAATTCGTGGAATAAAGATGAAACTACATATGTTCTAAGTAAGCATTAGGTACCTAATCTCCTCGGTAAGTGTTTAAATTTGAACAAATACCGTTTGTGTGTTTCATTTAATACTTACCTAATGTGGGTGGCGATAAAAAATACTAGGTACCTACTCGTAATCAACATCTCGAGGTTGTTGATGATTATTTTGTGCTTTATTAGTTTAAACTTACCGAAAATGTCAATATTTACCAATATACCATATAACGATGTGGGTAACTCCTACTACCTAGGTATTTACGTAGTTATCAGTTTTCTAACTAGGCAAATAGGTATCTATTGTTCTATTGTTATACTAAAACAGATACTTAACCATTTTTGATTAATTTTATCCAATGCTCGCTTTATTCTATTCATTTAGTTTTTTTTTTAATTAAAACATTTAAAAATCAGTGCTGATCAACTTGTGGGTTGCAAACTTTTACTTACCATTTTTATTGGTTATTTATTAATGCCCGACACAAAAAAGGGGTGTTTTAAGTTTGACCGCTATATGTGTCTGTTTGTATGTCTGACTGTGTGTCGGTATGTCTGTCTGTAGTACTGTAACTCATAAATGGGTAGAACGAGTTGTTTTTTTATTTTTTAGCAGTGGTTCATAGACATGTTTTATCAAAATCAGTTAAGCCGTTCTAATACTTAATTATTACTAACATAGCTATAACTTCCTTGTACCTACTAACAATTATGGATGTTTGTCCGAAATAAAGAGATTTTATTTACTATTTTATTTAATAGTACATTAAAAACATACGTTTCGTAGTTTTTTTTTATTCGAAGTGTTTATATGGTTCTCGGTTAGGAAAAGAGAGCTACGGGAATGTGACTTATATATATATGCAAACACTACAGTATTGAATCCGTCGATTGACGTGTCGGTCGAAGTTGGACTTACCTAGTCGGACTATTTGTCCCAGGTGAACGAACATACTCCTCAACAACTTGGAACTTAGAGTTCCCAACAACTACCGGTATAGGTGTGACATGGATATTAAACATAGTCTTTGTTTTGTCCATGTTCATCTTAAAACCTATCCGATGGGAGACACTATTGAGTTCATTATAGCTATAGGGTATATACAGTTAAAAAGAGAGGGAGATGTATGTACTCTTAAGTACTGAATAACTCCTGAACACAAAGTGCGTTCAAAACCTTACCACTGTGTTTTGCAACGCAACGAGAAGGCAGAGGAGATAACAAGCATATTCTGTGAAGATTGTGCAGCTAGCAAAGGCGGATGTAAGCATTCTGAGGCATTATTAATGTGGCTTAATCGCAGAACAGAGGAGCCTTTGCCACTCCACTTATTCCTCATTTTGGGTCCTCAAGCACATAAAAAAAGAGTTTATCAGGTTGAAATGAAGCACTGAGGCACAATACAGTATTATTTTTCCATTTTTACCACAGAGAACCTTAAAATTCTGATTTTTACTGCGTAGCGGCGTGCAGACGAGAGCGTGATTGTTGTATGAGCGGGGGTGTGACGTCATCGGCTAGTGAGCGCCCGGAAACACGCACTTTGATCGTTAATATCTCAGCCAATTTTCAAGATATGAAAAAAGTAAAAACGCAGCTTTTCTCGTATTATTTTGTAGATTTATTTGGCATGTAAAGTAATAAACGTTTGTCAGATCCGTTATTCCCTAGCATTAATCTAGCATTAAATGAATTGGCCAATCAACCATGAATCAATACGATTAAACAATCATGTATACATAACAGAAAATAATGTGGGCCCTAGATGGTAATGTGGCATGGTATGTGGTATGATATGATATATTAGTTAATAATAACTAATCTCTGTAAAAAAAATACTTGTTTCACTTACAAGTATTGTGTGTAAAAGTATAATAAAAATAATGTTATAAGATTGTTCTAACCTGTGCCAACTTTTTGTTTAAAATAGTTACAGGAGATTTTCCATCTGAGTGTCCAAAAGGTCTTTGTATTGTGCGTTGTATAATCTTTTGTCCTGATGGTGTTATAATTGTCTTCTCTGTAATTTGTTGTCCACCTGATCCATAGGTTCTCTTAGGCTACAAATAAATAGTATAAACATTATTTTTTTTTATTCAGTTTATTAAAGATAATTAACAGAAGAAAAAACTACACTACTGCCATGTTGTTTGTAGATTTTAACTACGAAATGAAATGATATCACAACAATTTCATGACTTTCTCACATTTTCCTCACCCCCAAGCACATAATATATCTGTTCTAAGAGTGTTACCACACCAATCGATCAACCCTAGATTGATGCCATTAATAGAGGTCAATCCTTTTAAATATACACCTTAATCATTTCAGTGGTGCTGAGATCCTCAATGTGAATCAGATTTCTTATATTTTAAGAAATTCAGGTTTTATTTTTTTCTTGTTTTAATATATAATTAGTCATTAACATACAAGTTTTTGAATTAGAATAATGGATTGAATCACAAAATATTTTAAAGGATTTTTTTTAATAAAATCAAATTTAACCTGTGAAGGAATAGGCGTACGGATTGGCGAACTCTTTTTACTTTCTTCGAGCTTCTTCTGTTTGGCAGCTAATATTTGTTTCCGAATAACCTCCTGATCTATGTTTAAGCCTGGACCTAACTTTCCTGGTGAATCAATCTTCATTATTCCTGAACTTTTGGACATTATATAAACACCTGAAAAGAAATATTACATTTTTATATGTATTTTTGTTACCCATACTCATCATGATCTAATTTGCTCAATGCCATTTTAAGATATACCTACGCACATTTGAGATCTCGTAAGTCAGATGTAATGTTAGGTCTTTACCTTACCTACCTATAAAGTTGGCGTTTTTTATAAAATAAGAACGTAATTTTTTTTTCTAAATTTTTTATTTCTGGTAATCAAGGCTTTGCCAACGCAGTGGCAGTTTATTGATGCCCTTCTTAAGGTGAAACATAAGGTCTGTTCCGGCCATATTCCCGCGAGATGGCGCTGAAGTCATCACTTTTTAGTTTATTTGGGTTTTTGTGTAATTGGAACATTATTAAGTTGTAGAATTAGTAATCGCGGTACTCGGACATTATTTTACTAGGCCTCAAAATCCACACAGTTCAACGAAGTCCGAAAATAACATATGTCATTGAATATAGTGTCGTTTACACACACAGACGTGAGTAAATTATTAGTCCCTACATTTACGAAAATTGAACACTAGATGGCGTGAATGAAAAAAAAATGTTTTCCTTTTTTCTGTATGAGTAGGCAGAACTACAGAACGCCACCTGCTACGATATATATTATGTACGATTCATCATCTGCCTAGCCATTTTCCCAACTATATTGGGGTCGGCTCCCAGTCAAACCCGATTCAACTGAATACCAGTATTTTAAGATTATGTTATAAAAATAAAAGTTATATTTGTAAAATGAGACATGGTAGCTCAGATGGTTAGCACGCGCTGTAAGTTTCACAGTACGCGAGAAACCCGGGTTCGATCCCCGCCGGCACCAAGGAAAGTGTTAATTGCAATTTTAAGTGCTGATTTACCACGTGCTTGGCGGTGAAGGAAAACATTGTGAGGAAACCTGCATGTCTGACAAATAAGAAAAAAATATATATATTTCGAAGACATGTGAAGTTCGCCAACACACATTGGGGCAGCGCGGCGGACTTTTCCTTGCCCTTAAACCCTCTCAGAAATGAGAGGCCTGTGCCCAGCAGTGGGACGTGTATATAGGCTGTAACTTTAACTTTTTTAACTTATATTTGTAGGCGTAAATAAACTATTTAATTCAATAATAATCTTGGAAAATAAATTATGTCAGCGCTAAGAACAATAAAACGCAGTTTTATTTTATAACCTTACACTATTGAAATTAATGATCAAAACAAGTATTTGAAGTAACACGCTTGATACATGCCTATTCACTCGAAACTAATAACACAGATGATTTGCAACCTAACCAATTATTACGAAAGTTTGTCATTACGTAATACGTAAGAAACTATTCATAAACAAAAGATAACAACAAATCTAAAACAAGATTTAGTATGCGATAATTACCAAGAAGGTGAAAAAATATTTCCTAATTTCAAAGCACACACAACTACAAAAGCTTTTAATAAAACAAAAATCATTTGACTTGTTGATTATTTTTTTATTAGATTAGTTTTAGGGCAACAAAAAAAAAACCGCCGAGGTGCAATTAACAAATTCATCGGTGCTGGCAGGACTCGAACTGGGGTTGCTCGCGTAGTGTGAAATTTGCAGTGAGTGTTAACCATCTAAGCTACCATGGCTCATTTTACAAATATAACTATTATTTTTTAACATAATCTTAAAATACTGGTATTCAGTTGAATTCGGTTTGACTGGGAGCCGACCCCAATATAGTTGGGAAAAAGGCTAGACAGGTGATGAATCATATGTAATATTTTATTTATACATTTTATTAATAAATACATAACCATTATTTTCATCTGTTATCCAAGGACAAATCAACTAAAAAAATCCAGGACATCTCCGTAATCCGTAACAAACGATACGACGCGACCTTGAGCTTGGTACTATAACAAATATAAAACAAACTAATAATAATATGTGTCTGTCTGAAACTGTTTGCAAAATACTCAATAGGTATTATTTTTACGTAACCCCGCAAAACTATGTTTTGCAAATGTTTGTAAAATTAATTTTGTGACTACTTTGGTGGCTTACAGATTTATAATTTTATTTATTGTTGAAAAAAATATTCAAACAAAACACTGACTTTGTAGTTTTGTACTCAACAGCGACACGTACAACATAGGTAATTAGTATTGTAACGAGATTTGAAATCACGGGCCAACTTGCGTTTCTAATACCACCAAAAACAAAATTTTTTTTTTATAGGATAAGGGTGACAAACGAGCACACAGTCTACCTGATGGTAAGTAGTTACTGTGGCCCATATACATCTACATCTCTCTACTCATTTGCGAATAAAAATGCAGATGCATTGTCACCCGTGAGGACTAAGATGGAATGCCTCATTTTCAGTAATACGGGTCTCCGGTTCTCTACACTCATCATACGAAAAACAGTAGCGTTAAGCTGCTATTTTACGCTGGTATTCTGTGAGAGCGTGGTCCTTCCCCGGTCGAGCAGACCCATTCGTGCTACAACTATACTACTAATATAGCTGCAGCATGGCTCTACCACATAAAATTTGTATGGCCTACAAATAATTGTTCCGGGTCTGGATGTTTGTCTTCGTGCAATCTATGTTTGTAAACTGCCTCCACGATACAGGAGAAAATCCTAGTGTGGGTGGTAACGTTTTTTATTTAAATATAATAATAAAAATAAATTAATTTGATATTAGAATTCTTAGGCAAACAAAAATTATTTTGATTTGAATTGGCCAGTACTACAGAACAGCAATTTCATAGGTATAGTTTATTTCTTGTGTATGTATAATTGTCTCTATGTAAATTAATGTTTAGTGGCTACAACCTGCTTTGAAGTAAGGAATAAGGATGCAGTATTCAAAACTACATTAAAAATATTTCAAATATAATACACATCTAAAATATTTTTATTTTTATATATATTATAAATTTTATTAAAGATATGGATTTTATTCCTTAATATTATGTAAGCAATTTAAACAAAAATAGAACAAAAATCTATTTTTTGTTTGAAAATGATAAATCTTATATTAACTAGTTTTAGGCTGGGTTAATTTTTTTTATCCTGCAAACTGTTTTCTAAATGAAATTATAAAATTATTGTGGTTTCTTATTATATATAAGATTATTATATATTATAAATAAAAAATATTATAAGTTATTTTTATAAGAGCATATATGTATAAGAGATAACTGATAACAGAATGATCACAAATTTTTTCATATTCATTATTTTAGTTTGGGTAAGAAAAATTAAAGGAAAAATAAATATAAGCATACCTGTAGTTAGGTTTGGCATGTGTTTGGGATCAACTTTGATGACACCCTTTATGTTGGGCATTCCTTTGCCCCCAAGTCCGAGTGATTTGACGAGATCAGGGTCTATCGATGTTTTTGGAGATTCCACATCATTCCCATTCACTATTTTCTTCTCAACTGAAATCATAAATGGTATAGTTAACCCATTCGCTGTTCCGTGTACTACATTCATTGCTATTTTTTTATAGACGGAGAGACAGAGCCAATAAGTCTCTGAATTTATTAAGCATGATTTTTGCTCAGGTGATTATAATCATAATTTACAATAAAATACTACGGTCAGTGAAGCGGATATTAGAACAGTTGTCTCAGGTTCGCGGTCAAACATGTAGTGACCACCGACATAATAAAATCAATTTCTTAAGGCTGAAACTTTATGAACTTTTGTTTTTTATATGTAAATCAAAATTATGATAGTCAGTCAACGTCCTATGGGGACACAGCTGGTCAGTCAGCTGTAATGTACATACGTAGCGAGGTTTATAAGGGTGCAATTCGTTTAGTAAGCGTGAATTTTTTTTTATTAACTACTACTGACTATATTATTAATAAATAAAATGGTCAGTCAACCATTCCGTAGAACAACGACCGTCAGTCTGAACAAGAAATGAAATGTTTACGCTCTCTATGGACGTTACACACGGCAACTCGTTTTTTTATTTATAATTTACTTAAAATGAAATAACTTTATCTTAATCATTTAACCGGTTCAGTGCGGGTGACACGCCAGGCGTGCCATCAATTACTTTTGTGTGTGGCGTATGACATGCGAGTCGTGTCTTTTTTAAAAATCGTTATAACTCGCTCAAATTGCTTTTTTGGAAAATTTATCCAGAACAAAATATTCCTTATTTTGCGAGTAGTTCATGCATGGAGCTTCGTTTCTGGATATTTTGAAAATTTTAAATTTTTAGGTGTTGACAACCTTTTTTTACTTTGTGGGTTTTAAATCATGTTATGGAAAAATTGTCTAATAAGTAACAAATAATAGCACTCATTGCGATCGCTTACAAACTCAAGTTGTAAATAAATTTCTGGAAAACACGTCTCCTGTTAAAAAAAACAATGCGTTTGTCTTATTGTTTAATTTTGCTTAAAATGGTTGAACTACCGTCTTATTACCGGCTTTTTTCTCTGTGGCAACCCCGGTGACAAATAGTTAAAAAATTGGGCTCCCAAATAATTTCGTAAAAATAATTATTGTAATTGATCATTTCCACCTCAAATTTAAGTTATAGCTGTTAATTACGAACAAATTTTATTGTGTAATAAATAAAAGTGGTAAATATTTAAATAAATAAATTTTTAGTGCCTCTCAACTTAAAGTGACAGCAGGTAACGAACATCGTTTAAAAGTTACTGTAATTCTTGTTATCCCTTTTAATATTTACGATATATCTCTTAAGTGTTGTTGTTTTCGGATTTCATTTTGAATTGTTTTCTTGATAATTTAATTTGAGATCTGTAATTAGAGTCCTATAATTGGATATTTGCTTACTCTGTTCCCTTGATTTTCCATCTTTGTTTTCTTTTACTATTTAAAATACATAGTAAAATGAATACTCGTAACGCCAAAACGCGCCAGATGGAGAACCAACTCCATCTTGCGCTCCAAGAACTGAGAGCGTCCAGGGAGCAGTGTGAGCTGTTACTTAAAGAAAGGGATGACAACGAAAAGGAAATAATAAGTATAATTTCGAAAAATACTCAATTGAAAAGTGATATGGTTAAGTTACATAGAGACTATACAGATATTTTAAAGGAAAGGGATCAGCTCCAGAGGACAGTCGATGAGTTTGACCGATGCAGCAAAGAATATGAGGAATCCCTCAGATTAATTGCTGCATTGAAATTACAATTAACTGAAGCTAATGAGCAAATTTCACAATTTAAACAAAACATTGATAACTTGCATGCACTTAAAACTCAGAGTCTGTTCGAGGAGCTCGTAGAATGGGCTTGGGGAGTGCTTTTAGCCGGGATGGAAGATGTGATTTAGATGTGGACAGGCGTGTCGCTGCCGGGAACAAAGTCAATGGTGCCCTGACTGCGTTAGTCAAAAGGCAAGGCGTAGCGAAGAGTGCACGCCTTGCAATACATAACGCAGTGTTGGTACCGACTTTGTTATATGGCAGCGAAACCTGGGTATGCCAGAAGAAGCATAAAAGTAAGTTGAATGCAGTGGAGATGCGATCTCTTCGTAAAATGTGCGGCGTTACCATGGCCGACCGAAAGCGAAACGAAGAGATTCGCAATATGGCAGGTTTGAAAGATGACCTTATCACAAAAATTGATAAGGGCGTGCTTCGGTGGTTTGGGCACGTTGAGCGAATGAGTGAAGACCGAATGGTGAAGAAAATATATAGCGCGAAAGTTAATATTAAAAGGTGTCGAGGTAGACCGAGACTAACTTTCGAAGACCATGTGAGCAAATTGCTCGAAGAGGGTAGGGTCAAAAGTACTCGGATACCTAGACGTGCATGCATGAAGAAGATAATGAATCTGAAAGAAGCGAAAGAGGTTTGTAAGGATCGTGACACTTGGCGATCTGTTCTCTCTGGCTACCCCGTCAGGGATTGTGCGTGAAGATAAGCAAGCAAGCAAGGAAAGTGCAAAAATTAGTTAAAACTAAAATTAATATTAAAAATTATACAAATGTATGTAAGGAAAAGCAAGAGTTAATTAGTAAAATTAAATTATATTCAATTGAGGTGGAAAACATGAAAAATTGTTATGAGACTGAAATAGAGTGTCTTAATTCAGAAATTTTATCACTTCAAACCTCATTACAAATTATGTCAAATAAATATAAATCTGCAGGGAATGAGATAAAAGAACACATACTGGCCATGGATAATCTGGTAAAGTCCTGCAACTGCAAATATAACGAGGAACGTTTTGACTCCTTATTAAAATATCAAAATGAATATCAGCGCTCACTACCAGGTTCTTTAGGGACAGTGTGTGTTAATAATATGACAAGCAGTAATACTTCATTTTCTTTACCTACACTCTTATGATAGTACCATAACAAAGCAGATAAATTTAAAAAGTAATCTATATAATGAAAAAAATAATATAATTGTGTATAGTGATGACATAGGCAAAAACTTGGGTATATCATTGAATAACTGTTTAAAAAGGCAACAGATAAGTAATTACTGCATGCCTGGAGCATCATTCAGTGATATTATGAATAAAATTTTAACTAGTAAATTTAACCCTAATAGTATATTAATAATTTTTGTTGGGAGAAGAGGCAATATGAACAGGAATCAATTATTAAAATATATTGAATATCTCAATAACATAAATGTGGTTAAAGTTATCTTGTTTACATTGCCTTACATAGAGGGGTGGCCACAGGAAAATAAACTAAGACATAATTTAAATTTAATGATGCATAACTTGACATGTAACAATAACTTAAATTTGACATTTAATTGTAAGAATAATAATGATAAATTTCATTTAATTGATATTAATAATTTAACTAAGAAGTTTTTGACAAGAGATAGGTATTACCTATCAAAGTATAGTTTAAGACTGGTAGCAAATACGCTATCGTATTATTTATATTTTAACTCAGCCAATGATTTGGCTACCTTGACACCTGCTTCTTTTGAGCAACAAAATAATTTTATATTTGATTTGAAACCAGTTCCAAGTAATTTAAATTAGATAATAAGACAATAGAGGTAATCTCTAGCAAAGATAATTTAAATAGCTTAGAATGCAACTTACCAATACATAATTATGCAATTTTACAAAATAACAATAATAAAAACTGTATCAACCTGGTGCATCAAAATATACAAGGTATGTTAGGCAAAGAATTAGAAATTGATTTATTTTTAAATAGTAACAGTATAAATATTTTATGTATTACAGAACATTGGTTGAAAGAATACAACTCCATATTTAATTTCAGTAATCACCAGGTGGTCAGTTCGTTCAATAGAGATACTAAATTACGTGGTGGCTCCTTAATATTAGCTAATAAGTCCTTATCATGTAAAGAACGTAAAGACATTGTCAGCCTCTCTGTTGAGCGTACTGTAGAAATGGCATGTGTTGAGCTTGAGCACCTTATTGTTGTCAGTGTTTACAGACCCCCATGTTCAAGTTATGATACTTTTGAAAAAATTATGGAAGAAGTTTTAGTTAAGCTTAATAAACAGAATAAATCTCTTGTAGTGTGTGGAGACTTTAATATCAATCTCCTGGAAACTTCTTCCATCAGTATTAAATTCTGTTCTTTGTTCAAATCCTATAATCTTAATAATTTATTCTTTGAAGCAACATGTATTGCAGGGTGTAGTGCAACTTGTATTGATAATATTTTTACAGGTGTTGTACCAATCAACAAATCAATAATACAAAAACTTAGTTCAGATCACTGTGGACAACTGGTTTCGTTACCTTATATGCACAAAAAACAGGTAAATGAGAAAATTGTGTTTGTTCCTATTAATGCAAAACGCCTGGAGAGATTTAGAAGTAATATGTTAAAAATCCTTCCATCCCTTTCTTATAAGAACAATGCAGACTATTTATATAGAGAATTATTTACCTTTATAAACAATGAATTTAATAAAACATTCACTTCTAAAACATTCTCCAGAAACAGTCGCAAGGCATTTAATGAGTGGGCGACAGTAGGAATTCATAAAAGCAGACGAAGGTTATAATGACCTTTACCATGAAAGATCGTATAATCTTTCCGATGCTTTTAAAGAATATGTAAAAAATTATTCTAAAATGTTTAAAAGAGTTTGCTCCACAGCCAAATCATTACATATTAGTAACAAAATTAAGACAGCTAAGAATAAAATTAAAATGACGTGGAGTATAATTAACAGCGAAACCGGTAAAGAGAAACCTCGTAATTCAAACTATCAATTAAAAATTAATAATGAATTGACTAAAACAAATCAAGAAGTTGCAGCGGTGTTTGAGAAATATTTCACTGATGTTCCTATCTTGACAACAGAGTCATTGAATGCTTCTCCAACTGTCGCCGAATCATTACTTAAACAGAATGTTAATACCTGTTTAAAAGAATTTAGATTTGAAAAAGTATTACCGCATAATATTGTAAAATACTTCAAAACCATTGATGTAAAGAAAACCGCAGATTTGTGGGGGATTTCCGTTACAGTGATTGCGTCCATAATAGATTTAATTGCACCTCATCTTGCTATTATTTTTAATACTTGTATCGATTCTGGTGTGTTTCCTGATTTAATGAAGTATAGTAAAGTAATACCTTTATTTAAATCTGGTAGTACATTGGACCCCGCTAATTATAGACCTATTTCTGTACTACCAACTCTCAGTAAAATTTTTGAAAAAATAATTTTGGATCAATTGTTAATTTTTTTTAATACAAATAAATTACTTCATAAAAATCAATTTGGTTTTACAAGGGGTCGCTCGACGTCTGACGCCGGTGTTGAGCTTATGAAATATATTTTTAATGCCTGGGAGAATTCACAAGATGCCTTAGGTATTTTCTGTGACCTTTCCAAGGCTTTCGATTGTGTTCATCATGATACATTAATCAGGAAACTACAACATTACGGTGTAAAAAATTTGGCGCTTAAACTTATTACTTCATATTTAAGTAACAGAACTCAAAAAGTCGTCATTAATGGTAAATGTTCCTCCGGATCAGTAGTATCAATGGGCGTTCCTCAGGGCTCGATTCTTGGCCCATTCCTGTTCTTAATCTATATTAATGACTTACCTTATCTTGTAGGGGACAATCACGATATAGTATTATTTGCTGACGATACCTCTTTAATTTTCAAACTGAAACGGCAGTCAATTAAATATGACGATGTAAATAATGCTCTATCGAAACTAGTACATTGATTTAACGCCAACAATTTGCTCTTAAACGGCAATAAGACAAAATGTATTAAATTTACAATACCTAATGTAAAACATTCGAAAACCAATGTGCTCTTAAATGGGGAGGAGTTGAGTCTTGTGGATACCACTGTTTTTCTCGGTATTACTATTGACGCGAAACTTCAATGGGGCCCCCATATATCTAAATTAGCAAGCAGACTTAGTTCTGCAGCATATGCTGTAAGAAAGATTAGAAGTCTCACAGATGTTGAGACAGCTAGGTTAGTGTATTTTAGTTACTTTCATAGCGTAATGTCTTATGGAATTTTGCTATGGGGTAATGCGACTGATATTGAAGCTATATTTGTTTTGCAAAAGAGAGCCGTACGGGCGATTTATAATCTAAATTGTAAAGAGTCCCTTAGAGAAAAATTTAAAGAAATAAACATATTAACTTTGGCATCGCAAAATATTTATGAAAATGTAATGTATGTACATAAAAACATAAATAGCTTTAATAAGAATAAGGATGTTCATACCTTAAACACTAGGAACAAACATAAGCTTGTAATGCCACTTACAAGACTCCACAGAATTAGTAATTCATTTATGGGGCAATGTATACGCTTTTACAACAGAATTCCAGAACATGTTCAAAGTTTGTCAATAAACAAGTTTAAAAGTTATATTAAAGAAAAACTGTACAAAAAGGGTTATTATAATATCAAGGAATACATGAATGAAAATAACCCCTGGGAATAAGGTGATCGCCACCATGCTGGTTCTATGAAAATTCATTTAAAATTGTATAAACAAAATTATTGTTAAGTGTAATTATGTTTAAAAAAAAAGTCCCGCTGGGTTTCTTGCTGGTTCTTCCCAGGACAGAGGTATTTTCCGAACCAGTGGTAAATAAAATAATGACTTTCAATAAGTATTATGTAATAATCCATATTGAATAAAAATCATTCTATTCTATTCTATTCTATTACTATCATATGGCTACGAAGTACCATGTGCACTTGTGATATGGTATAAGGTTTATTTTTGCTTGAAACAGTTCGAAACCGTTCATGCATAAAAAAGTTAGCTAATAAATAGTCTTTTGTCACCGCCGCCGTATAGCGCCGGCGTTTTTTTCCTTTTGAAAACACTTGTTTTGCTATTCTTACTAATTAAACGTTTTCAGATCGACTTTACTTTTACATTTGTATAACATTAAATACTATTTAACATTTGTAAATATCTATGAATGATATACCTTATTTTTTTTTTCAAATTAAGGTTCTTCATTGTTTGATATTTACAAATGTTATTATTAGGTGAAAATTTAATTTAATGAAAACCAAGGTTTCCAGGATGATTTAGCTGTACCTACTTATATAAATGATCTCTTCATAAAAAAGTCACTTTCTCTCAATTTCAAAGAAAGCGCGTAAAAAAACTCGTAGTTACCCACTAAAACAAGTATCCTTCCATTTGTAACTTATGTTTGATGTCAAATAAACTTAATTAGGTCTAAACAAATAAAAAAAGCATAAAAAGATTGTCTGTGACGCTTGACACGCCCGGCGTGTCATGAAATATTTGTTCGCCGTCACAGCTAAAAGTTGTCGAAAATTGGTGCCGCAACGAATCGGTTAAAAGTACTACATTTATTTTAATAAGGCACTTCTGTGTCGCAGTTGTGCCTAAATGTACATTACAGCTGACTGACCAGCTGTGTCTCCATAGGACGTTGACTGAATATCATAATTATGATTTACATATAACAAAAAAAATTCATAAAGTTTCAGCCTTAAGAAATTGATCTTATTATGTAAACCGGACAGTGAAAGTGTTAAAATAGTGAATAATTTTTAATGTCTAATAATAATTTTTACATGTAAGTTATTAAAATTATAATCTAATGCAGAAGATGCAAATAGGTGTACGATCAATCACACTGCAGTATTTTAGACAAACAACTGTAACACTTGTTTGTACACAAATTTTTTGATTCAGCCTATACACCATTAATAAATTTTAAAGAAAACTGAATCCTCATAAATTTAAATATTTATCGACAACCAATGAGGAAGAAAGGTTCTTGAGTGATAAGCTCGTTTTGGTAAGGCAAGACATGGATTAAGTGGACGGTGGCTCAGAACCGTGTTTTATGGCATTCCTTGGGGAGACCTGCATACAACAATGTTGCTTGTGAAGGGCTGTAAAGATGATGATGAATAAAAAGATATTTATACCTCTTGTAGGTGACTCTGTATCAGTGAAGTCCTCTTCATCACTAGAAATCTCTTTTTTTATTTTCTTTGCCGCGGGCTCATCTTCAGCGCCACACCACGCCTTTACTTGGTCCAATGCTTTAACTTTACTTGTTCTTTGCAGGCGACTGTTAAGAGTTATGGCTTTGTAAATATTTTAAGGGGTTTGTTTTTACTATAGTTGACTGATGTCCTCCTGGTCCTTTTTCGACCACGACGACAACTTTCAATTAAAACATAATATTATAGAATACGACTTTCCATTGACGTACGTAGAGTTGGGGTTGATATTTTTTTTTTACAGAAAGGTTACAATATTATAAGCACACACGCAAGTTTCAACATTCGGAAACGCGTACTTTTTGAGAAAAAAAAAATATTGAAAAGCAATTATTTTTGCAATATTTATGTCAATCCCTACCACAAATTATATCGAATTCACGAATTATGTCAATGCCTACAGCCCACAGATTATATCGATTTTTTTTTATAGGAGTGGGCAAACCAGCACGCGGGCTCACCTGATGGTAAGTGACTACCGCCGCCCATGAACAATCACAACACCAGGGGAACCAAGGGAATTGCAGATGCGTTGCCGGCCTTTTAAAAAAGAGTTGGATCTTTTCTTGAAGGTCCCTAAGTCATATCGGTCCGGAAAAATCGTTAATGGTAATCGATTCCACAAGGAAGTCGTGCGAGGAAGAAAACATCTTCTAAATCGCAGTGTGGATGGTATCGGGAGTTCTGCCGCGATGTGCGTTCGTGAAATTTGGCGGCTGGGATTAATCCGAACAATTCCTCAGAGCACTCCCCGTGATAAATGCGAAAGAAAATGTAAAGGGATGCAACATCTCTTCGCAGTGCCAATAAATCGAGCCGATCGGAAAGGGCTCGATCGTCGACGATTCGAGCCGCTCTGCGGTGGATGCGGTCAAGTGGAAGGAGCTGGCACTGGGGAGCCCCTGCCCAGAGATGGGAACAGTATTCCATATGAGGCCGAACCTGCGCCATGTAAAGTTGCAGGCGGTGTGCCGGCATGAAATACTGTCCCGCTCTGCTGAGCACGCCAAGCTTTTTTAGAGGCCAATTTGGCCTTCTCTTCCAAGTGACCACGAAACTGGACGTCACTCGATATGTCGACTCCGAGGATTCCCATACTGGCTGAGGCAAGACGGAGAGTGCCTTGAAACTGAGGACATACGACAAAGGGGTTCTTTTCTGCAATATTTATGCCAATCCCCATTGACGTCTCGAATAATATTTAAATTACAGAATTATTTTATTACGAATTTATTTTATAACAGTGGGGGACTGATTCAGAGGGATTTCTGTATCTATTATGAGACTATCCCTCCTCCTCCGATGCCTTCGATTTGTTACAGCAGGCGGAAGCTGCTCGCCCTACGCACCTCCGGCTCTATAAAAACACTCTAGGGGTAGGTCAGACTCGTACCAAGTGGAGTCGGGTATTTTGACATAAGTTGAACCTAACCTATTTTATTTGTTATCTGCCCTAATAGGCACTGTTAAAATAAAAAAAATTTCAATAAGAGATCATTTATTATGGTATCTTTCTTGTTTTTCGTAAAATGGATTCATATTTACATTATAAATGTAAACATGAAAAAATATCGATATTTTAGAAATCGATTTTTTTGAGAATCGATTTAAAAATCGATCTTTTTCGGAAATAATCGACATCCCTACTGACAATGACAATACAAAATAGCGTCAGTTTTACGGTAAACACAGGCTGGTGCAACTTCCATAGTAAAAATTATATGTACGAGGCACTGAAAATTTCGGGAATCAAGGAAGTGACTTGTGTCACTTCAAAATCAAGGAAGTGACACAAATTACTATTTAAAAATGTATTTATTGCTTTTTGAAGTATTTTTGAAGTATTCTCCGCGACACATTTTTCCATACGATGGAACCAATCATTGAAGCAACCATTCCATTCGGAAGTTGGGGTCTCCAAAATGGCCGTTTTGTAGGCGTCCACAGCTTCTTCAGGTGATGAAAATCTCTGTCCACACAATTTATTCTTTATTTTAGGGAAAGTATAGAAATCATTAGGGCTTAGGTCGGGGCTGTATGGCGGATGGTCTAATAATTCTATGTTTTCTTGCTCTAAAAACTCTTTTGTTCTGTGTGCGGTGTGAGAACTCGCATTGTCGTGATGGAGGATGATGCGGCGGTTGCAGTTCTCTTTACGGAGTTCAGAAATGACCTGTGGCAAACAAATGCTAGCATACCATTCTGCATTAACCGTTCTTTGTCCCTCAAGAGGAATAGTCGTAACATGGCAAGTTTTGGAGACAAACGTGGCCACCATTTTTTTTGCAACACTCCGTGAACGAACAAATTTTGTTGGCTTTAACTCATTTTCGAACACCCAAACTCGTGACTGGTTTTTTGTTTCGGGTTCGTACGCGTATATCTAGGATTAGTCACCTGATACGATGTTGTATACAGCATTTGAGGATCCTGCGTGGAATCTTTCGAGAGTTCTGACGCACCAAGTAACGCGAGCCGCTTTTTGCTCTTCACAGAGCGAATGCGGTATCCATCGGGAAAACAACTTTTTTACACCTAATTGTTCATGCAAGATTATTTGTATTTGACTCATGCCAACGTCTAAAGTTGCCTGAATTTCGCGGTATTTCACATGTCGATCTTCCTCAATCAGCTTACGCACAGCATCAACGTTTTCTTGGGTGACTGCAGTTTTGGACGACCTTGACGGGGATCATCACAGAGCTTGACACGTCCACGTTGAAATTCAGCAAACCAGCGATAAATTGTGGTTTTGGATGGGGCTTCATCACCAAATGCAGAAATCATCCGGTCAACACACTGTTTTTGTGTTAAACCACTTCGAAAGTCATAATAAATCATCGCTCTTGAATTTTCTCAAGTCAATTCTATTTTCTCAACGACTAAACAAGTTTGACAAAACCTTGTGACAAGACCGAGAATCTTTTTTTAAATAAATAAATGGTATTCAATTTTAAAAAACCAAGGACTTTTCAATTAAAAAGATTTTAATATGACAGGAACAGTGGAAATATTCCATTCCCGATACTTTTAGTACTGCCTATGTACTACAGGGGTCAAATTTTAATGACGGTTATCTCTTCTTTCTGCTTTTTGTAATATGTCTATTAACGACATTGTCGAATCAAATAGGTTCAAATGTCAGATCAAACAATTATATTTGTATATATTTTATTTATTAGGATTGCTTTTAATTTTGCTATAGGAGCCGTTGTTCATTTACAGAATTGTTAAGAAATTAAATATGCATTATAAACTTTCCAATTAAATGGTGCAAGAAGGGGAAAAAATGATAACAAGAAGAAGCCATTCGTAGCAATATTTCCCTTGGATGACGAAAGGTATGTGGTGATTTCAACTTTAATAGTAATATGATATTTAACGCGAGTATATTTTTTGACTAGCCATCTACGTAGGACAGGTTTTTGTAGTGTACGATTGTGTGCACAAATACAAACACACTATTTCCTAAATCTGATAGTTCGATGGTATGGCAATCCGAAACGAACTATATTTAGAAACCACACAGTCAATTGTGACTGCTAACATTCTATTTGTTCAATAAAAATGTGATTTTTTCAGATGCAAGCAATGGGTGAAATAGCTGGCACATGCACCAATTGAAAAGATTCACAACTTAACTGAACTGTTGTATATGGAAATGAGGTGATCACTACCAAGCTATTTCTAATTTGTTGTGTTGTTAATTTGTGTAACATCATGATTGTAAGCTGTTATTTAAAAAAAAGTCCCGCTGGGTTTCTTGCTGGTTCTTCCCAGGACAGAGGTTTTTTCCGAACCAGTGGTAATCAAACAAAAGAGTGACTTTCAATAAGTATTATTTATAATCTATATTGAATAAAAAAGTTTCTGTTTCTGTTTCTATTTCATCAGTGGACTTAATTTTAACTTCCACAATTATGTGTATGTTAATTAGGTTTCATTTATATGTAGAAAAAGATAATATCGCTCTAAAGTCACATTTTGGTAAGAATTCGATTATATAACCTCAAAGCTATTTGTAATTGGTTATAAATTATATTTTTTTTTAGATTCATCTACAAACATTAGCTATAATGAGCACTCATTTTGAAAGCAACAATTAGTAAATGATCTCTGCGAATAGTATGTACATAGGTACCTCTGTGAAAAAGCCTAGCTTTTTGTACATAGTATTTGTTACACATAAAAGCAATTTAATCCAATCAGTGTTAAAAACCCAATATTTTTACCCTTTAAAAAAAACTAACGTTGAAAACAAGCATCCTGATGCAGACTATTTATTTTACAGCATAGCAACACTTGTTACACTTATCCTCATCGGCATTTTTACTCAATCCCCACGTAAAAAAATTATTTCTCATAAATAATGCAGTATAGAGATCTAATTTTTATTATGTAAAATATCGATAAAGGTTATATCGATAAAATTATTTGAGGATAGACATTTATAGCACTATTGTAATTCGTTAATGTTGTCAACACTGTTTATCAAAACTAAATGTCATAATATCTTGATGTTGGTAGAGTAGCTTGGCGTAATCTCATGCATTTACTTTTACTATGGAAGTCCCGCGTCTTAAACGTAGTGATTATATTCTCTTTGGGTAAACACTACCCATTTTAATTTTAATAGCTCGTAATGAAAATAATTCTAAAATTTAAATTAATTCTATAATTTAAATTAATTCTGTAATGTAATTTAAAATAATTCTGATATAATTCGAGAATTCCATATAATATGTAGTAGGAATTGACATAAATATTGCAAAAGTAATTGATTTTCAATAATTTTTTTCTCAAAAAGTACGCGTGTTTGAATGTCGAAACTTTGTGTGTGCTTATAAAAATGTACCCTTTCTGTAAAAAAAATATCAACCCCAATTCGACGGACGTCAATGGAAAGCTAAGCCTATTATAGTGCTAATAACATATAACTCAAATTCAAAATTAAAAACACCGAAAACAACAGGTGATGAGCTTGAAATACCTGAACTGATTTTAAAAAAACATGTCAAGAACCACCCCCAGAAAACCCGCATTTAAATTAAAAAATCGCACCCAAATAAGTTCACTCGTTTAAGAGCTACCGTGCCACAGACAGATACACATAGTGTTCAAACTTATAACACCCCAATTTTTGCGTCGGAGGTTAAAAACGTATGTCTGTTATGTGACAAATAAAAAGGGATTTTAGCCCAGCAGTGAATTGTATATATAAATTACGTTAGTAGTATTTGTTTATATTTATAGAGAAAATTGTTCTTACCCAGATGAAGAAATATTAGGGCTTTCTGATTTCTTAACAACTTGTTTAACTATTTGTGGCATGGGTGTGCTAACTTGTTTCACCTGAAAAATAAAGAATAAGCAATAAATGCACAACTTTTCTGCCGCCAGGGCGGCGCCACTTAGTAATGAGGTGAAATATTTGACAAATTCCATAGAGGGAAAGTTAAATTCTTAACAAAATATAAAGTTTAATGTTTTGTTATTTAATATTTTATATTAGTTAGATAGAAATGGATAAGACAAACTACAGATATTTCTGAAAGTACAAAAATTAAAAGGAGGTTAAAATGTGCAAAGATAAAAAAGAGCAACCACTGAGGCAATGTTACATATATTACACTAGAAACTTAAAAACTTTTATAGTGACAATGTCTTCAGCTCAGTAGCTCAACTAGCGACAAACTAGTGAGCTGTAAATTATTAGCCTATTAAAAGTAGTTAGTGAAAATTGCTTATGCTAATTAATATAGGTGTAATTTTTTATCTGCTTTTCATAATTTGCTGCTGGTCACACACCTTTTTAAGAATACATCATCTGGTAGGTTCAACATAAAAGATTTTCCCATATTCTCCATACTGGGCAAGCTTGTTAGAGAATGCAGCACTAATACCATTACACTGATGATGTACATATATATTGGATTTAGGTTTGGCAATTTAAAATGGATCCCACTATAACAGCTCAGTCATTTCTCCACTTTCTCCAATAGCAAATACAGATTATTCAAAAACAGAAGTTTGTATTACTACACATTAACTTCTACTTTTACGGATTTTATCGCCTTTAATTACACTTATTTTTAAATTCCCGACGTTTCGGGTGCTTTCCAGTACCCATGGTCACGGGGGACTGAGGTCCTGATGTCAGAGTTAGCCTGGAGTACCTTCAGATTTTTATTATTAGTTTTGGTCCAATCTATGCAGAATGAACTTACTGTGTCTTGGGGTCTTGCAGTAGTATGATTGGGTTTAGTTTTAATTTTATTAATTACAGAATCCCAAGCAGGTGTTAGTACGCAGCTTCCCTCTCTATTGAAATTAGGATGTTTTTTAATTTCAATAGCCTCATGAATCATCCTTGGCAGTATTGATGTTCTTTCGCAAGAATTTGTGGTCGTCTAGGATATGATCACAAACTGCAGACTTCCCGAAATGTTGGTTGGTGTTTATTCAATATGTTGTAAATTAATTAGCTAAGAGATCCATGTACAAAAATTGAATATCTTACTAAGTTTAAACAGCACCTCCACCCTCCCTTAATTGTGTGCAACATCCCCGTCACTACTAATCCCAGCACCACAACTCCCAAACCCACCACACTAGAACAGACACATCAATAACACTACACATGTTTCACATCTAAACAAGGCATCCTTGGATGAAGTAGACTTTGCAGTGGCTGACAACGCTTATAGATAATTAATTAGCTAAAAACCGCGTAAAAAAATTAAATGATGTGTACCTAGTTTGAAGAGCAGCTCTCTCATATGTCACAAATCGATAATAGATTTTTATTGTACTACAATGTGCATAACATTTGCAAATCATACCTGCACCGGATGCTGCTGTTGTTGCTGTTGCTGCTGGGCTCTTAAAGCTTTAAGTTCTTTCTGTCGGGCAAGTTGCTTCTCAAATGCTTCAAGGAGATGTTTACATGTCTCCATGTTATCAACTGGCTCCCATGTATTTTGTTCACTGTAAATAACAACATAATTAATTACAACTTATTAGGCAAATGTAACAATCAGTTTACTTCCACTGTTTTAAAAATGTATACACTTGAGGAATATCTTGTTCAAAAATATAGTATAATTGAAAATATTAGCTGGCATATGAGTTGGTGTTGCTAAATACCAACAAGCAACTTTGAACTCCATTAAGGAGTGACATGGCTTATTGGTGAACCTGACTTGGTATCTATCAAGCTGCTAAAGTTTGAGTACATACAAAGTAGCAGATCTTTAGGCCTGAATTCCTCCTGCGCTGACGTCGGTTGCGTACGGTCGGTCGCGTACAGCGTGCAGCAAGCTACGCGCCACTGTCGTCAGCATTGCAGTGTGGAGCTATATAGAACACAATGTACATTAGTACGCACGACCGACGTACGCGACCGACGTCAGCGTAGGAGGAATTCAGGCCTTACTGTGTTTAGAATTTAGACAACAGAGAAAGCCTTGGTAGATTTTCATCCTTTCACTGTGGATAAACCAAACATTTGAACAAACCTCGGTTCATCATTTATAATGCATATAGGAAAGGAACACTTTTGCCTTTAGTCTTTCCATCTGAATAATGTTTAGGAGTTGTTTAAATTTTTACTGTAGTCCACTTATCATCAGATGAAATCATAGTATATTCGCTTATTTATATAACAAATAAATCACTTACTGTGGATAGCCTTCCCATTTAAGTAAATACTCGTACTGCTTTCGCCGCGGGTTGAAACGCTTGGCAAGTATTTTCTCTACAACATATTCTCCAGCTTCAACAGGGTCGGCACCTTCGCGTTCAGAGCGCCGTGCTATCCGTTCCTCAGGCGGCACTCGTTCTTGTGCATTTCGCACAGACTCCTTGTCTGTGAACTCCTACATTAATAAAATTAAATAGTTGATGATTATTAATATTTTCACTTAAAGAATTTCAGTGCTCAACATCATCATCATGACCTGTATGGAGGTTTAATAAAACCTAAAAAATATATTATTATTGTATTGCATTACTATTTGCAATTAACATTTTAATCAGGAATTATAATTTCGTGCTGTGTATCCTAATCAGTTTTTAACCGAAATACATAAACATTATTAGTATATTCTATCAGTATACGTAGAATTTAACTTTAAAATAAGAAAATATAAAAGTTATTTGGTCATGTAGAAAGAATGTATAAGGAAAGAGTGAAAAAGACGCTGAACGGCAGTCGGGAAGGGACGCCCTAGGCGAAAGTTTATCGAACAAATTGACGATATATAGAATATGGGCCAAATTAAGAGTACTCTTAACTGACGAGCATGTATGCGTAGGTACATGAACGTAAAGGAAGCGAAAGATGCGTCATGATTGTGCCAAATGGAAGTCCATTATCTCTGGCTACCCCTCTGGGTGTTCTCGTCAGGTGTGTTTTTTATATATACAAAAGTTACAGTCCATAATATACTGCCTACAGCTGGGTATGTACCTTTTTTTTAGAATAAGGGTGACAAACAAGCTCACAGTTCACCTGATAGTAAGTGGTTACTGTGGCCCATAGATATCTACATCTATCCTCAATCACAAATTAAAATTCAGATGTGTTGTCACCTGTGAGGACTAAGATGGAATGCCTTGTTTCCAGGGAAAAGTCTCCGGTTCTCTACACTCACCATACGAAACACAGCAGTGTTGAGCTGTTATTTTACACTGGTATTCTGTGACAGTGTGGCCTTCCCTGATCGAGCCAACCCATTCATGGGACAACTATACTACTTATATAGCTGCAGCATGTCTCTACCATCTACATGTACATGCAGCTGCTACACAGTTCTCGTCTCATTTCTATGACATTTATGGAGCAATTAATCCACCACACTGCTCAATGCATGTTGGTGGGCTGCAGATATCCTCGAAATATTTTATTCCTAAAATGCAGGTTTACTCACGATATTTTCCATTACTGCAGATCATGTGATAAATAAGCACTTAGAATTGTAGCTCACGCAATAGTGGCAATAAATATTTCGAACCCAGTTTGCCACAGTCATTAAAATTTACAGCCAGCGCTCAGGTCCTGAGCTTCACTTGTCAGGTAGCAATGAAATCATAGAGAGAAAAAGAGAGATGACTCAAGAAAGACATTGTCTGTCCTTCTCTCCCATGGCACTTTATATCCAATATGGTCTGCATATAAATTAGGAAGTATTTACCTTTGCCTTTGGAGTTTGGAATGTGACTGCTTTAGGTACAACTTTCTGTGCTGGACTAGCCTTTACATCGTCACTTTCTTCACCAGATGGTTGTGTTTCAGAATCTTCCTGCATATAAATAGAAGAGTGAATATTACATATTTAAAACAAAATTTATTCACTTAAGGTAAAAATTTCAAGTAAGGTAAAAATTCTAAATTTAACTTTAAATACAACAGCCTGGACTCAAACTACTTGACCTATAAAATTTGGTGGTATTGGTGTGAGAAATCTTTCTAGCGTTGCATTGCCTGCTTTCCTTGCTTCTGTGCATAGTGTCAGTGACTTATGTAACATAATAAAGTAGACCTGTGCTTTGCTATTGAGGCAGTGCAGTTATGGCAAACACTGTCCCGTTGAAAATGTTCCACTGGAAGTTAAGCAATAATAACAGTGGGATATTCCATAGGTACAGAGTGAGCAGAAAGATTTGTTTCATAATTACCATAGTGACCAAGATAAGGCACGCCTTCTAGCAGTTTCTACTAAGGAATCTAGTCACTGGTTACACGCCTTACCATCAAGTAATCTCAGCACATTACTTGATGGGGAAAGCTTGCGCATCGCTGTAGGAATCCGATTAGGAGCGGCGATTTGTCAACTCCATCAGTGCTCCTGTGGTAGCACCGTCGACTTGTGGCTTCACAGACTTTCATGTAAGAAAAGTGCTGGTAGGTTTTCACGGCACGGTTTTAGAGCCTTGAGGAATATTTAGAGACGATGGCAAAAGACCTGACGGTATGACATTGGTCCCTTGGGAGAGAGGTAAAGCCCTAGTGTGGGATGCTACTTGTGTGTACACTCTGGCGGCCTCTCATCTCAGGGGTACCTCGTTTAGAGCCAGGGCGGCATCAGAGGCAGCTGAACTGTAGCTGTATATAATAAAATATTGTTTGTATTTAAACTTTAAATTTGCATTTAATATAAATTGATTTAAATACTTAAGGTTTAAAAATAACACAATCTTGGTGTGGGTGGCTAACATTTTTAAATTGACATACCACTCTTTGAAGTTGTTGAAGTTTTCTAGGCCTTCCTCTTTTTTTCATTTCAGCAGTTGGAGTCTGAACAGGAACAAGCTGATCTTCAGTTTTAACTTCCATCTTAAAGTGATAAAGAAAGATTTATTAACACAAAAAGAAATTTTTGCTTTTGATCTGAAATTACGATGACTATTTTTTATAAGTTATCTTTTTATAATTTTAAAATTTATAACCCACTATCAGATAATTAAAGTATTAAAAAAAAATTACCTTTTTTCTCTGTATATATTTTTTAAGAAAGCAAGAAAAGGTATCATAGATAATCAAATATGTTGATCACAGTGCCAATAGTTGGTACTTTGGGATTATCCTGTCAACATCTCATAGCTCGTGAAATAATTCCTTTTCTTAAAGTAGGTTAAGGGGCGGCTGGCGTAGCCCTAAAGCCACGTTATATGATATAAAATATAATATTGAAACAATTGAACTTATAAATAAAAAAGTATAAATTGAGAGGTCGGCGGGATAGTCCCAAAGTACCCAAAAGTTTTATATTACATATTATAGCAGTAACAGAATGGGGTATATTCTTTTTACCCATTAAAATATCCAACTTTATTTGTTTTAAGAATGGTTGGGATATAATGAACTCCGGTTGCCGATGCAGGATCTTGCTATGGTGTCATAAACTTTTTAAGTAATAAGGGGAAAGATAGCAAATCCTTATTTTTTGGAGGGTAAATATATAAATGTACTGGCGTAGTATGTAGAACAGAGGCGGCGGCTTTGCTAAAAGAGGCACTCCACTCTCGTGCTAGGTACTACTCTACTTAGTCTTTAAAAACAGATGACATTAATGTCTACTTCCTGATGTATGAGTGAATCCACAAAGACTACATTAACATATAGACAAAAGCATAGTGTAATGTTTACACAAATATGTTAGATCATAAGAACCTGCAATATTAGTAATCAATCAATCAATCAATATGTCCTTTATCCTAAATTTCATTTCTTGGTAAGCATTACAGTATTATAACATGATATCTCTGTGGTCAGTGTGTCTCATGCCTCCTGCCAAAGGCCTCTTCTAACAATTTCTATTGCATTCTCTCTTGCAACTCTTGTCCAATCTTTATATCCTACATGTTGACTTCCCTTTTTCTTTTGCAATCTATAGGATACCCGTCTGTAATTATTTTGCTTCACTTTTTGGTTACTTCATAACATGTAACCAGTTCATCTCCAATTTAGTTGGTGTATTTTAGTGAGTACATTCATAACTATCCTAAAACCTTGTCCTAGCCCTGTATGTGTGTCTTAGCTCTAATAAAAGTATTTCGTTTTCTGTTTCTTGTTTATTAATTTCTAATATGGTTCTCTCCATAGCTCTTTAACAGTGTTCTAGCATATCTCTGTGGTGTTTTGTTGTAAGTGACCAATTTTCTCAACTATATGTGATGGAATGCATTTAATTCTGTTCCTGAGAGCTATGAATTACATTTTTTTTTTTAATCAAATTCAGTGCCCAATAATTAGATTCACAAGCTTTATAGTTAAATATGTTTTTCTAGCATTTGTAGTCATTTGATTTTCCTATATTTTTTTAATTCCTTCTTTGATTTTCTTACTTAGCTTTCGTTTATACCAATAATCAATTGTTTCATTTTACTATTAAATAGATAATATGTTTATTAGTTTTACAATGCATAACCTGGTTTTCTAAATTGGCTTTTGATAGCTTTAATACTTCTGTTGTCCTTGTTTCTAGTATTTCTCTGCCAAGTCTTGAGGTGGTGTATATGGTATTAATTTCTAGGCTTTATTAATTTCTATATCTCTAGATTTTTTTATCATTTCTCATGCTTATATGATAATGAGATGTTCCCTGCGACTTTGCCCGCATGTAATTTAGGATTTTAATTGTTGCGTGGAACCCTAATTCCTTTTCTAAAATATAAGCAGCCTAAGTTACATTTTATAACATCAGCTGTCTGCCAGTGAAAGTCCCATTGAAATCGGTCCAGCTGTTTTGGAGATTAGCCAGAACAAACAGACAGACAAAAATTTTTAAAATTGGTTTTTTGTAAAAGTACCGTATATACTTCCATATGCATTTTCAATTTTCTTTATTTGTATAGATTATAATAACTAGAGATACATATTATACCTTATTATTATTACTCCCTATTGCTAACATATAGATTACTCTATCAAGAATAATAAAATTTTAAATATACTTTCTTCACATCATTCAAAGAAAAAGCATTTATCACAACAATAAACATGATACACAGCTAAATAGAAATTATATATATATTATTGTATAAATTGTTTCTAAAGAAATATCACTTACCACTTTAGCATGAGCAAACTTGGACAGAGACTGGACATTTGACCCTGCTGTGATCCAGGCAGTCCTTTGAGCTTCTGGCATACGACACCACTGTTGATACAGCTTCCAACTATTGTCTGTGTTTGATGTTGATCCATCACGTGCCGAGGAGCATTTCCATAGCAGGAATGCCCAAACCTGAGCTTTACTTTCATTCTAAAAATACACTTATATTGAAATTAGGTTAAATATACATCACAACTAAAACACTACAATATTAAGTTTTTATGGAATTAACATTTAATCAGATAATATTATCAATTGTTTCATTATATTATATTCATGTAATTCATATAATAATATAATATTATTATATGAATTACAATGTTTCATTATTTGATATTGAGAGTTGAAGAAAGATATGTCATATTTTAATGACCTATGTAGTTGTAGTATGCTGGAAAATTAGCAAGATATATGAAAATAATTTAAAATTAAAAATTTTGTACAGCCGACTTCAATATAAGTTATTTAAGAATAACTTAAAAACTATTGGTCTGACCTTGATCAAATTCATATGGGACCACATGAGAAGTACCAGCTTTCAAATAAAAAAAGAATCATCGAAATCGGTTCACCCAGAAAAAAGTTCTGAGGTAACACACATAAAAAAAAAAAACGAAAAAAAAAAAACATACAGTCGAATTGAGTACCGGCTCCTTTTTGGAAGTCGGCAGAAAAAATAAGAGGACTCTACAATACATTTCTTTTCATTTCAACAGGCAGATATGTTCCAGGCTAATCACAGTGCAATAGGCAAAGCCTTTTATTTTAAATACTAGATTAGTCTATAACCAATGTTGAAACATGAAACCATATGTAGAAGGTTTAATATATAATTAAGCCATTCAAAACTTTACATGGATCCTTCACCAGATGAATCTTAGGATGTTTAAATGTCGAACTTACACTGTCTCTCACTGGAGACTTGCCAATACAGTTATTTGCTTCTTTATGCTCTTTAAACTCCTCGAGAAAATGAAATGCAGAATGACATTGCCCACAAACAAGAACATCAAGAGTTGCCATTTGTTCATGAGCTTCTGTAATATAACAAATTTTGTTTACAAACAAAATTAAAAGCAGACTAAATAATTTTAAACTTGTTATTAAACATTAGTTACCTTTTAATGCAGTTGGATTCTTTGTCAATTCTTCAGGGTTTCCCGCCGTAACTTCTGCAGAAGGCGACTCGCCTTCTTCCATAGTTGTCATTATTTATAATGCCAATAACCTTAAATAATGCGTAGTTACTTAAAAAAAACGCAATAAATTATTGGTATTAAATCAACGAAAATCGTCATAAATATAACCTAGCAAAACTAGACCGGTAACTTCCCGCCAACTCATACATAATCCTAAGAATAATCAATTTTACCTTATGCTAAAATTGATATAAGAATGATAATAACTATCAAAATAAACAAATATCATTGTTTCTTTCGTAAACTATGTTGATTACATACAACTTCCCATCAAATAATTAAAATTTCTGTGACACATCAATCAAGATTTATACCGACGCTTAGCGTTTTTTTACATTGCTGCGTTAATGTTATAATAAAATGGAGACACAATATTATTAAAAGCGGGAAACAGGTACACTTTCTATTGATGTAACTCCCTTGGCTCATTACACTTACCAAAACAATGTCAAATGTATTATTTTTTTTATACAAATTATTACACACCGTGAACTAAACGAAAAACGGAACAACAACGACTGATCTAAAAGCAAGCATCAAATACTTTATGAAAAAAAGCTTTCACCGACAGAGTTATACTGCCCCCTAGTGTTCGCCGACAACTCTAGTTTTCTTTGCCTAAAAATGTTTAAACGGCCAATAGTGAAAGAGAATTAGTAGGTATCCTCCAATCAAAAAATTTGAAGTTACAGCGTGTATTATAACAGACTTACGATCAATGAGTCTGCGAAATTTTACACCGACATGTGCTTACGCCGACACTGTATGCCGACATGCAGCTCTAATTTCATTATTGCAATAGATGCAAGATTAATTATGATTGTGATATTAAAATTAGCAATTACTAAGAAATTCTCATTAATAACCTTATTTGTATCATATCAAAAACATCGATTTGCCACTGTGCAATAATATTTCAAAAAACAACAGCTTATTTAATAATTAATTAATAAAATCGAATTAAGTGTAATTCAATTATTAATGTCTAATAAAGCCTTGTCTATCCATAGTTATTGCAGTAATGCCATACATTTAAAATTGATTCTAAAGAGTAAGGACATTCAACCGCCATACTTAATTCAAGATAACACAAACGTATTTTTGTTTTAGTTCTCATAGGTACCACGTGTAACTGACCCAGAGACGGACCAACAGACTTTAATGTTTTTTAAACAAATAAGTACATTTTATAAGTACAATATAAGTACATTTTACACTTGTTTTGCAGCTCGATTACAGCCTATCAAAATATGTCCATATCTGAACATAAACCTAAGCCCATGGACCTAGAAAAAAACCACCCTTTTTTCTAGGTCCATGCCTAAGCCATAAGCAGGTTTTATAGTTGCCACTCGCCACGCTTCTGCTATTTCTGTTACTCTCTTTGACCCAAAGACATTTAATACTTAAATAAAATAATAGACCGGACACCAACGTCATCATCGTCAAAAGGTCGAGACGCATTGGTTTCCTAAATTTAAAAAATATTTTGTAAATAAAATATGCCCGATTGTGCATTAAGGTATAGTAAGTCCTGGTATGTAGCAAAAACTAAATGTGATTTCGGTTTATTATCGCCAGTATAATTTATATATACCCTATAATATTTAAGCTTTATTATTTCTGGTAGATTTATCATTATTGTAATAAGTGCCCGCTGTTATCCAGTAACTTAACCAAATGATTTAGTGATTGAAAACGTTTATCGATTGGTGCTATCGATAAAAAATATTATACAGAATGCAGATTTAATCATCTATAATATATAAGGAGGTGAAACATTAAACGATACTGTATCCATACCAACAAAGAAATCGGATGGGCCTGTATAAGGGCACACGGCCGTTGGTTTTAAAGTGAAAAGTCTATGTCAGCTAGTACAACCAGTACAACCAATCAACAAGTTAGCCTTCTTTTTAAAATTTTAATTTAATTCTACAACACCAGAAGAATTGTAGATTGAAGGTTTCTAAGTCGTATCGGTCCATAAAAATCGCCGATGGTAAACGATTCCTAAGAAAACTCTTAATAAATCGCACGGTAGTGGACCGCCAAGCATCCAAATGATGTGGATGGTAACGTAAGTTTTGTCGCGATGAGTGTTGGTGCAATTTGGTGGCTGGAATTAATCCGAACAATTATTCAAAGCACACCCCGTGGTAAATACGATAGAAAATGCAAAAGGATGCAACATCTTTACGCAACGCCAGTGAATCGAGCCAATCAAAGAGAACTCGGTCGTCGACGATTTGTGCCGCTCTGCTCTCTATGTCTATATCTATATATATTCCGCTCCTTTGCTGTACGCATTACAAAAGACGAAGCAAACCGTTTGGTTCTAATGCTTGGAATATTGGCAATAAAAGTGGTGAAGACCCGCCGACCGCCTGGTTGTCCGATGGTGGAAAGAAGAGGGAGGAATTAAAGCGTGTAATTCTTGCGCACACTCACCGAAATGCATCCTATAGAATACCGAGAGAATGGTTAATCTGGTTGTTTGAGGCTGACAAGATTGGTTTCAACCAAATCAAGGTCACCGATGAGCCTCTTAGCACGTCTCTCCACTGATTCCAACGCTGCCAGGTGGCATTTTGCAGCATGAGCCCATATGTGACAGCAGTATTCCATGCATGACCGGGCTTGCGCCTTATATAAGTTAAGAAGCTGTCCCGAAGTGAAGTACCGCCGCACCCTTGCAAGAAAACCAAGTTTCCTTGCGGGTGCTATGGCTATGAGCTCAATGAAGCGCCCATTCTCAACACACTCAATCAACTCTTAACAACTGTAGGCGTTCAGTGTACTTCAAGGATACATTCCGGAAAGTAGAAGCCAGAGTGAGCGGGCTTCTTTTAGCGGTGAAAAGACACGCTTCTGTTTTGGAAGCGTTGAATTTCACAAGACTGGCATCGCCCCATTCGGAGACTGCCTGTAGTGTGAGATTCACACGCTCTACCATAGCCTCTCGTTCAGACTGGATTTGATCCCGTCTGGCCCGGGCACTTGGTTAGTGTCTCTGCACAACTGTGCTGTCGTCTGCATACCCATAGATACCGGGAATGAGCAGATCATTTATATGAAGCAGGAAGAGAGTTGCGGAGAGAATGGACCCCTGAAGAACTCCGGCGTTTGTTGCGATAGGACAGGACGAGCAGCTATCGATGACGACTCGGGAAAATCGTTCACTTAGAGAGCCCAGTCAATCAGGCCAGGGAATAAGCCGTACGCTGAAAGCTTGCCTAACAGGCTAGCTTGCCAAACCCTGTCAAAAGTGAAGATCGATCTCGAAAGGATATTGCGGATAAAAGCACCGCCCAACAGCAGCAGGCAAACGAGTAAAAGCCAGGACTGCGAGACGGGTGCTGTCTGATGTTAAATGAGCTCCAAGGATTCGATCTCACATACCCATGACAGGAACAGCATAATCATCAAGGTCGAGGTCAACGGAACGCCGTGTAAACTGAAAATAGACACTGGAACCTCTCGCATGGTTGTCAGTTCCCAACTTATAAGTCAGTTCCTTGGCGACTCCGCATATAACCGAGAACGCATCAATTTGGTGACAGCCAGCGGTCAGCGCATACCCGTCCGTGGAGAGAAGAAGGAGTTGAAGCTAGGCAACATGATCTACCTGCATAATGTCATCGTTGCTGATATAATGGACGACTGCATCCTGGGCTTAGATTTTATGAGGAAGAATTGTTGTGAGATCAACGTTAAGCAAGGTGGAAAGGGTAGATAATGACCTTCCATGGATAGTGGCTCGAACCTTGGTCACAACCTCCAACATCTCAGGAGTACGTGTGCTGAACCTTTGTGAAGAGGAACATATTATAGATAAAGGCCAACTGGTCGGTACTTGTGAGGAAGTGGATTGATTGAGTCGGTTCCAATATTTATCAACTGGGACCCCCAGCAAGGTTGCACAAACGAGAGTGACCACACTTTTAGAAGACTGCCGTAGCGTTCTCTCCCCGAATGAAATGGTCAAGGCGAAGAAGTTGTTACTCAAGTACGCCGATGTTTTATCGTCAAACGATGCTGTCATAGGAAAGACTGGCTTAATTCAGCACAAAATAAACACAGAAGAAGAATTACCTATCCGTCAGTGGCCAAGAAGATTGCCGGTAACACGTGAAAAGGAAGTGGAAACCATGATTGAGGGAATGGTGTAGGATGGTCTTATTGAATCTTCATCTAGTCCACGGTGTTCACCTGTGGTGGTGGTAAAGAAAAAGGACGGCAGCAAAGGGTTCGATGAAGGTTCACTAGTGTGGTTACACAATCCAGTTCGCAACAAAGGGAAATCTCCTAAGCTTCAAGCTAAATGGGACGGACCGTACTGGATTGTGACAAGGATCAATGACGTAACCTACAGAATACAGAAAGGTGCAAGATGTACTCTTATGATCACTCATGTGGATCGACTGGTGCGTTACTATGGGGCCGATAATGCTCGGGATGAGTAAGTTTTAGGAGGGGGCAGTGTTGCGCCCCACAATTAATGCCTGGTACATGGTGACTCTAGTTACCACTAGCGCCTTCTAGTATCGAGTTACAGAACTAGGAGCATCAAGATCCTTCTAGAAATTTCCATGGAAGAACTTTCTAGAACTATCGACACCTAGTCAACCGGGACCGGTAAGTACTCGAACAATCTAGATGTTTCTACAGAAGAACATTCTGGAATTACCTAAGGCCCTATATAAGGCCGGTATAGACCGCAACCCGAGTCAGTGTTGAATTGGCGATACAAGAGAATACTTCGAAGCGATACAGTTGCGAACTAAAGTGATCAGTAGTACAATAGTGTTTTGCTATTAGTGTGGTTTTAAGTTGTAATTAGTGTTCTGTAATTAAAATGTCAATTTTGGTAATTCACACGGCAGTTTTTAACTATGTCGAACCATAAACTCGTAACAATACCTCAGAATTGTTAGATGAAATCTAACAAGTCTTACATATTGATTCTATTTGTCTTCTTTAATGTCGACGTTTACTCGAGAGATTTTA